GTCCGTCTACATGTAAATATTCAATCGTAGCGGTTGTCATAGACCTGGTCTCAAGAAAATACCTGGTAAAGGCCAAGTTAAGATAGTGACTAGGTTAGAAAATTGCAGTGTGACGACCTTGGTACTAAGGCAAGTATAAGAGAACTACTCCAACAAAGACGAGCAAAGACGAAGCAATGAAAGTAGAGGAGTCAGGGCGGACCAACTAACATCACCATCCCATCAGCTAATGGGTGTCGATCCACCCCACCCCTTCGTCAATCAGTTGCTCATCCGCCCATCCATCTCCGTCTCCCCTGCTCTGCTCCTCTCCCGCTTTTGGTCTGCGTTCTTGGGTTATGTAGGTCTCGTTCCATCAAATAACCATCCATCGTCGTTTGTCGGTGTTTCGAGTACTATTCGAGTCGAAACGTGCCCTCTGAGACCGGGGATATAGCTTATCACGGCTGTGTAGCAAAGAAGGTTGTTTCTGTGCGACTACTGCAGCCGCCCGTCTTCCTACCGCACACGCACACTCTATGGAGATACAGCCTACAAGCCTACATACACACACACACATACACGGATACTGTACATACTACGTAGTAGTAGACTCTGACCCTCCCCAGATTCTAAACCCGTAGTGGCCCTGTCAATAGTAGTGCTACGCTAGTCGATAAGTCGTCTCGAAACTACACTACATAGTACCACATGGGTATTCACTGCGTACATGTAGGAGCAGCAACTGAATATGGGAACAATCAGCCATAAGTACTGTTAGAGTCGTCAATGCCGATGAACCTAACCGTAGAATACTGCGCCAACTACCCGACCGTTGATCCAAGGATTTCGAGTACATGTAAAAAAACAAAACAAAACAAAACAAAACAAAAACCAAGAGCTCAGCTTAAAGTACAGCTGTAACTCATTAGCCTGAGCTCTCCAATAACACCAACTAACAACACCCCTCTTCGCTCGCTAGACAGTTCAGGGTTGTCATCTTGAACAACCCCCCGCCCAGCTCCGCTGCCTCTGATCTCGGCTAGCAACTCGTATGAGAAGAAGGTAAACTGGTTAGTGTTTCTATTATTAAGATCAGGCCCTTGCACCGGCGTGTGTTCTTTTCTCTTCCCCCTTCCCTCTCTATCCATCCATCTCATTTGTCTCCTTCATATGGCCTGCATTCACTGGGCTGATACTCCGCATGGTTCGAAACAACCCCGGGCTTATACAACGAGGGGTTAATGCTACCGAAACAGACAAACCGGACAAGGCAGAATTATATCGACACATAACTAGGTAGAACGCAAACGGATGCCGCCCGCAGCATAGAAGTCACTGTAAGTGCCGACTTACATAGTAGATTAGGCTTTAGGAGCACCGTAGAGACATGGTACTGGCCGCCTCCGCTGATACTAACAAGAGCTGTTTCGAGACTCTCCGACACTCCGATATCTTCCATTCGCCGGCTCTCTATTCGCCCACTTTATTCAAACCGCACGGGACCTTGTTGGATTTCCCTCAGATCAAACCTCACCAGCATCATCGCTGTCATCATTATTATCATTAGCCAACATCATCATCATCTTGCTTTGTTCTGGGGTTTCCCCTCTCGCACCAACCCAACCCTGGACCCCTCGCAATCCCGCCATATCTCATCCTTGCGCTCTCACGCTCCCTGCCTGTGTATCCCTCATCCGGGCCAAATTATCAAAATCCACAGAAAATCCACAGACGTACGAGAAGATCCAGACAGAGAGTCTTATAGGTAACAGCAGGTAGGCATGCGCACGAAGTAAGTAGTCTACGTGCCCACCCCTGCTCAATACCCACGGCATCGACAGAGACTACGTAGGTATTATCCACATCGAGTGTACATATACGCTGCACTACCTACCTAGGTACAGTGCCGTACCAGGGAGCCCTCACACGCGAACCCCCACTCCGGTGCTGCATAGCGTCTTGTTCGCTCTTTTCCCTGCGACCTTCACATGACAAACCACCCCAGAAGAGACCCAGAAGAAACCCAGACGAGCCAGGGCAGGCAGCCGCTTCATCTATTCGAGCAAGCAGCGAGAACGGCGGGCCAGAGATAGATATAGCCAGGCAGACAGACAGACAGACAGACAGGCAGACAGGCAGGCAAGCAGACGAACACACACACATACACAGGCAGATAGGCAGGCGGCAAAGCTGGCAGGCTCTCTCTGCCTGTTGGTAGGCTAAACCTCCGCGTTGCGAACCAGGACTTGATTCTGCACAGCGTCAATCGACCAATGAGATACAAGAGGTTGATGCTTGCTACTACTAAGTACAGACTCTTTGATCTCTGCACCACTGGATGCCAGCTCTTGTACGTCTCAGCAACAGATCACCGCTAGCCGATCGCTGTCAACCCTATGTATGTACGTACATCCAGGACCGCTTTGCGTAGTACTTGGACCAACCTCACGATACCTTGTCAGACCTTGTCTAGTGTACGTGTATTGGTCTACACCAGTTTTTACCAGGTTTTCCTTTGGCTGGTTGTAAGAAGTACCTGCCTATCTACCGACACTTAACTCCAAGAAAGAAGCCCAGCACTCACCCTTTCTTATATCTTGGCGCTCTTGGCGCTCTTGGCTTTGGCTTCAACAGCAGCATCAGCACGGCATCGGCAGCAACAATCATAATCGGAGAGAAGGCGACTGGACCTCGATTCTTACACACCTCCAACCTGCAGTATTCACTCTGTACGATATTTTGCGATCTTGTGTTAGTTGTCACCTAGGGCACCGAGAGGTTTACACCCGGAATCATATATCCTCCATTTTCTTCGTATGTCTGCATGTCGGCACCTTGCTGATGGGCAACGCACATACTCACAGGTTCGTTTCTACAGACACTGCAACAGACATTGAATCCACCACCATCTTGGATCAACACAGCCAACTACGACCACTTAGCTACTACATAGTACTTAGCTAGGGCTCATCACATATCTACCTACACACAGAGTTAACCTACGCTACCTGTTACTCTGTGGTCCGCGCCTCCTAGGTAACTGCTAGGTATCTTCCCTGTTTTACTCTATTACTCTAGGTACTTCAAGTCGACCACAGCATCGGCCCTCGGTGCCCTTAGATGCATGTATTTACACAGTACCTAGCACATGTCTACCTATCTGACTTACATACCTACTTACACTTATATACTTACTCAAGTACCTAGGTACCTGCCTACATGTACGAAGTAGGTATCTGATGTACCTACCTAGGTAGTTGCGCAACACCCACCTCGTTGCTTCGTGCATCATGATATGCGACCTACCCGCGCCTACATAGGTACCTCTTCCAGTCAACGCTGCGATTACCATCGGAGTTGCATGCTTGATTGAAAGATCGATCGTGTATATTGAATACTCAAGCCTCAATCCATCTTTTTATCTATACCTTCAAGTTCCTTAGGTCTGGTCTTCTGTCCCAGTCTGGGGGTTTTTCTATCTTGTCCGTCCTACTCCAGGCTGGCTCCATCCCAGTTTCCAACTACCAACCCCATACCAAACCAACTCCAAACCAAGTCCTATCTGTACTTGTTGCATCTCTATTCCTGGGTACCCAAGAGAGAGTGTTATGTAGGCAGCTCCCAAGTCTTCCTTAACAACAACGTAAACCATCATCGACCCCTCTCCGTCTCCCATCCCATAACCAACCTTGCTTGAAAGTTGCCAGTCATACGGCGAAAGTTGTACTTACCTACCTTTACCAAGGATAGTGAGAACATCTACTTCGTTGCACTGCGCGAGCCAACGCCCAGGTATCCCATCATCATATCGCACACTTACTGGCCCAGCGAGTCCTTGGCATTGGCTCATTAGTGTTAAATTAGTACTTGGGGTATACGCTATTCTGTACTATATCCCACAGCATTACTTCGTATACGGCTGTTCTTGACCACACCCCTCCCCCCCCCCCCCCGGTCCTCGCTGACCCTGGCCCCGGTCCTGGCCCTGGCTCCCTCTCGAAACTCTTTGTCCATAAACCCCCCTCCCTGTTGCTTTCTCCCCAAGGCAATAAAGGGCAGCTGCACTAGCTAAGTAAGCTGGACTCTGCTGGACATAGCTACTACTGGTTAGTCCAACGCCGGCGCCACTGCATTGTACATAATCTATCTGTACAGTACCTACCCAGGCTGGGTCAGTAGGTACCCCTACATGTCCTCTTGGCCTACCTAAGTACGCGTGCCCATTACATTACATACCGGTATACCTATACATAAGGTAGGTAAGTACTTCCCTCTAGATACCTCCTAGGTATAGTACAAATATACTGCACCGGCCCACTGAACTCTTCCTTCGTACTGACTAACGCTAGGTGTTCTGGCAGCGCTGGGCTCAGGCTGAATACTTAAGTACATATACTTACTTACCTACTCAGTACAGTACTTACCTAGGTACTTACCTAAGTAAGGTAGTCAGTCGCCTCTGTACTTAACCTAGTACCTAACTTGGGCGGGCATAGCTTAACTCTATCCCTTCCACATTTACTTTGTAGGTTTCCTCCAGCTCCGCAGAAATCCTCCATTCACATACTTACATAAGTAGTAAAAGTACAGCTGCATACAGATACTCCATAGTAGACAGATATATTCTCACGGCTGCCACCCCCCTCGCCCAAACTCAATCGTCCAATCCGTCCCATTTGTCCCATCTCCAGACCAACTTCTCATCTTCATACGCCCCCCCCCCTCTGTCTCTCTCCCACCCTGCTCACCCCTCCCCTCCCCTCCCCCCTCTCCCCCCCCCCCGTCCCATCCCAGAATCCACCCTGCTTGCCATCCTTCCCAAGATCTGCTACCTTGGCTCCGTTTGGTTTCGCTCGCGCGCGTCATTCTCGACAACCTCGTCCTGTGCCTTTATCTCCTTCATCCAACTATATCAAGACACGTCGCTCTGCAGGCACCGCCGTTCTCCACGTCTCTTCCCGCCGCCGCGACGCCGACGACGACGTTTGACGTGCAACATCGCAGCGTCGCCCGTCCGAATGTATTCCACCCAGCCCAACGGCGCTGAGGGTGCGACCATCAATCCCGCAACTATCAACCCTGCCGCCCTCAACCCAGGTATGTTTGAGTCCTAACCTCCATTTAATCGCCAGTCTCCTCGCCCTCGCCCGCCATCATCCTCGTGTGTGGTCCCATGTCTTGTATTGTTTGATGTTGCTTTTCTATTCCGACTTTTGTTTCTCTTTTTGCCTTCTGTATTTGATTACTTTGTCGTTTCTTTCGCTCGTGCCAAACCCATGTCTTCGCCGCCTGTTCTGGTCGGTTTCGCGCGCAAGCTGTGCCGCATTCTTTGTGCGCCACTGGTGTGAGCGCTTGAGCATGTCGAGACCCTCGTTTGGCTATCGCAACCACTCCTCTATTCATTTAGCCTCGCCCTCCCACCGCTGTAAACGATCGCCAGTGTCATCGCGAACTAGTGGGCTTTCCCCTTGCTCACAGGCACTGGCTGGAGAGATGATGTGCTAGCGCGCGCGGTCGCGGTGCGCGGTCGCATTCGCTGTCGCCGTCGCAATCGCCGTCGTTGGTCGCCATGCTTGCGCCTTGTTTCACTCTCTCTTCATTAGTCACCACTATGGTTACAAAAGCCATCCACTTTTTTTGTGCTTCTCGATTGCCGTGTCTTGCCTCGTGTCACGACATGTCGCCGGGTACATGTCAGTCGCTGACCTTCTAATTCTAATTGCACAGAACTGCTCAATCCAGCAACTTCCCGAGGCTTGAAGCGGAGTCGCTCCCCCGACACCTATCAAGACGCCGCGGCATCTGAAACCCTTGGGGACGATGGTAAGTCTCACCCTCCGGCTAGCTCTGCGTGCCTTGCTTGCGCCCCATGTTACTTGTGTAGCGCTACTCCTACGACTCGACATCCCTCAGTTGCATTTATTATCACCTCCCCCCTTCCTGGATAACACTTCATCCATCATCGCAACGCGAACAATAACAACAGTAACATCAAAATCGGGTTAAGAAAGCGGATGAGGCGCTGTAATCGATAGATTAGCATGGCCTATTGTAAGCTTACTGACTTTTCCGTCGCATCGCAGGTGATTCCAAACATCCGAGAAAACGCGGCCGCCCCATGAAATCTCGATCAGATAGCTACCCTGACCCAGTAACCCATAACACGATTTCCATTCCGCCCACAATGCCGCAGCCCATACCACCCCGGACTCCTCAGACGCAGACAGAACCGATACCTGGACAGCCACCACCAGGTAACTACACTCCTGTTCAGGCGTCCCCTCCTCCGAAGGTTACGCCAAAGTCAACGTTAAAGGCTCTTCCAACCGTTCGTGATCACACTACTGATCAGCTTGGCCCCGGTGGCGATGAGTACATGCCACGAGAGACGGACGAGGCTGGAGAGAAGAAGGTTATGGCAAATGGCCAGCTACTAGGTGGACGCGAATATCGATGTCGAACTTTTCTCGTTCCACACCGGGGTGATAAGCTGTTTATGCTCGCCACGGAATGTGCAAGGGTCCTTGGATACCGCGACTCGTATCTGCTATTCAATAAAAATAGGTCACTCTACAAGATAATCGCCAACCAGGTGGAAAAGGATGATCTTGTTCAACAGGAAATTTTGCCCTTTTCGTATCGCTCCAGGCAAATCGCCATTGTCACAGCGCGATCCATGTTCCGACAGTTTGGCAGTCGCGTCATCACTAATGGTAGGAGGGTTCGCGACGACTATTGGGAGGGTAAGGCAAGAAAACAAGGATTTACTGAGGCTGATATGGCCGGTGAGAAGAGGCCAGGTGCGGCCAAGGCCAGAGAAGCGGCAGCTGAGGCCAATGCTGTCAGCGGTATCGGGTCGCTTCAGGGAGGGCCTCAGGGTGAGATTGTCTACGCGAATCCCCACCAGTTTGGTGGCGCTCCGCAGCCTCTTGTGCAACCAGGTATGATGGGAACGCCAGGAACTTCGACAAGAATGCCTATGATAACAGTTGGACCAGATCTGAATGATGCAAGGACACGAGATTATAGCAACTTCATTAAGAGCGGACCTCGTCAAGAAATTGCAGGTCCGGCCTACCAGGACAGGACACAGCCCACGCCGATCAGTGAAATACACCAGCAGGCCCATCATGCTGCCGAGTACAATCGTACTCTCAACCAGGGTCGCGAGATGCGGAGTGACTATTTGCAGAGTCTTTGGAGGAGGCCGCACGAACAACCTGCGACGTCACAACCCGTTGTTCAGGAACCCAGCTTGCCCACAACCAGGCCCGGCCAGTCACCACAGACGACCCCCGCCGGACTCACATCGTCTGGTATCCTTCCTAACCAAAGCCCACAGTTGATGATGACGGCACCACCATATTCGCAATCTCTCCACTCTCAGCAGCCCATGGGCCAACCTCCAATGCGAGCCATGCCTCAGCCATCGAACCAGAAGCAAACGAGGCCTCCTAGCCTCCCATCTGGCCCATCCAGCATGTCGCAAGGCACTCCAGCGTACAACTATGGTTCTCAAAACCCGATGTGGGGACCTCAAACACCACAGGCTCCTCCGCATTATACGGGCTACACAACCCAAGCCCAGCATTCACCTCATCCCCAGCAATCACCGGCTCCTCAACAACTACGCCACCCAAGCGGAACTCCTCAAATGCAGCCAAACACCATGCAATATCCAAGCATGCAAGGGCTTTCCCACGGCTACCCGGCGCAGGGGCAGGGAATGTATCCTCCCGAGCAGACTCCTAGGCAGTTCATGCCACAGAACCCAAGTTCCGCTCCTACTGTCACATCAACGTGGACTAATCCTCCAACTCCGGCTGGGAGCAACTGGTGGCCACAGTAGTGGCGGGTCCTCAAGTGCAATCCTTATTTGATTGGAACGCATCTGTCCATACAGCATTCTACATAAGTTATTACGAATTCCTTATCTATTGTTGCAGCATTGTTCGCCCTCGGCTGGCGATAGAGGCGTCGAAGAGAGACTTTCAGTGAGCCATCTAAAATTACTAACGGCACCACACTCGTTTATCCGGCGGTGGTCTTCCTCGATTCCATGTTTTCGGGTCCGATTTTGACAGACGATTGGTTCCAGTTACCTTACAGGAGTTGCATTCATCCTATGCACATGATACCATACGATTTTCTGCTCTATTTACGCTGCCACAGATGTTCGGCTTCGAATACCCCGGGCTTAAGGTCTTGGGCAGGTGATAGGACCAGCTTGCTTACGAATCGGTACTGCGAACACAGGCTGGAAGCGTACTTGAATGCAAGCAACTCGTCGAGCGCGGCTGTATGCCGTATCCTGCCGGGTGCTCTCGTACTCTTGAAAAGAAAAATCCAATTAGGACATACTCAGGAACTGTTTTTGGTTAGGAAGAGGGCCCTTAATAACTCGCATATGGTCGGTAGGATGTCGTATTCTTATGAGGCAGGCTTGTTGTTCGTTTTGGCTCTTCCATTCGAGCTTGGCTATTATACCCCTTGTGTTTCATTTCCAAGCTTTATGGTGAGGGGAGTTTTCAATACACGCAAACACGGCAGCATGGAAGGAGTTTTCTACACGTTGGCTTTCTTTTCAGGTTCTTTTTTCCCTGATTTCTTATTCTTCTTCTCTCTACTCTTTCTCTTGTATTTCCCGGATTCCACCTGTACGTCCTTTGAACCGATTTGGAATGCATTATCAGTCATACAACGGGGAGGTTCTCTGCATACTTTGCTCATTGACTGAGCAGGTCAGCAGTCTCAATCAATGGTCTTTTTATGGGGCTTTCCACAGTTTTCATTCTGGATGAGGATAATTTGCATTTCGGACAGGGGAAACCCAACACCTGGCGGCAGACTTGCTTTCCTTTTCTTGCGGCCTCTACTCAGGACCCTGTTCTCGTAGTTTCTCGCAATTGTGTCCTTTTGGTATTCTTTGGAAGTTTATTGAGGAGTTGCGCGACAGAGCAATGCATAAATTTTGCAACCTAATATCATATTCAAATTCTAAACTCCGCTCTTCAGTGCTGTTGCCAACATGTCATGCTCAGTTTTATCAGTAGCTAACCTGGCTGTTTCAACAAGACCTCCTCAAACAGTAGTCGGATTACAACCTCACATGCTATCGCCTAGTGATCTTTCTAGTGGTGATAGTAAATACCATTGCCGGTAAAGATGGTTTATGCCACTGTAAACGGATTCGAAGGATAACAACTATTGCCAAATTCGATTCAAGCAGTATGCTCTCTGCCGTGATCTCGCTGAGGTTCGTGAACCTGTTGCCAGGCAACGAATGGTGGGTAAGTACCTACTTAGCCTTGCCATTTGTTCAGGGGCGTCTACCCAGTAATTACACGTTACCTAGACTACACTATGCATGTTATATGTAGTATACATGTACGACCTATAAGCGTGAAGGGAAGTTTAGGTTGGTAGGTTATCTAGGTATCTATCTTGGGCGCGTACATGCGAACGAATCTTTGCGTCTATCGGAAATGTCAGGGGAATCAAAAAGTATAATTACTACCTACCTACTAAGTGCGCAGATAGCTAACCTACCTACCTCCGAATCTACTCTAGGTATGTAGGGTAGGGATCTTAGATTCGGACAGAAATATCGCAGGCTATGGATCATGTTAAGAGAGTTATCTCGTTCCAAATAACTGGCTGCTCTCTGGTTGTTCTTACTTACCTACGAAGTACCTACTTAGCCTTGCCTTGCCGTTCGTTCCCCTCATCTCCAAATCACCCCAGCCAGCAGGTTGCCAGCCCCGTACGTCCCTTGTCCTGGCCGAATGCAATGCAAGTAAAGTCCTACATACATATCGAGTGTATTATACATGACTCCCTCCTTAGCACTGGGATGTAATCTAGGTATTGCCCGAGGCTAGCCTGCTGGCCCATGTCATGATCCTCTTACTAAGTGTGTATGTATGTTTCTTTCGATTCGTTGGTTCGGTTCTGCTCGGTTTGTAGGTTTCGGGGAGGTTAGGATAATGTTTGGCGGTATAGGGAGGTAGGTACCAGTAGGTGTGCATTTTTTTTTTCTCTCTCTCTTTGCACCAGGCCCTGTTCCATGCTGACCAACAACAATAACACCCACGCAACCCCATCCCCCTCCCCCCATCCGACCCGATCCCACCCTTGTTGCTTCTCGCTCTCTTCTCGCCCCTTGGATTCGGGAATAGAGACGTCCGTATGGTACGGCCCATTCTTTTCTTTCCCAAGGGGATGGTAACGCCCCCCTCCCGTCCATTCTCCTTCCTTTCCTTCCTCCCTCCCTCCCTCCTTATATCTTTTCTTTATTGATGTCCTGTCTGTACTTCGTAAGTCTGCTATGCTACTACCTACATACCTAGGTAGGTAGGTAAGTAGTTTATGTTATCTATCACCCACGGCAGTAGAGCGCTTATGTCCCTACCCCATGACGTGATACACTACAGGCCCTTTACACGCATGAACCCAGCATCATTGATTCCATGCATGTTAAGTAACTTTACACCCAACTGCAGGTAAGTAGGCAACATGTACGTGACAATGTTGATGTGCTATAGTTAGGAGCATATAGTTTACCATCTTATCGAGATGCCAGGGTGTGGTGAATTGACTTCTTCTATACGTCGTATTATGTTCGGGGGGGTGTTGGCTCGTTCATGTACGATCTCCTCCTGGGATACTTACTCGCATACTAACATACCTACATGCATACATACACACCTACCATATACCTGGTATAAGCAGACGTCCATGCTTCCATTCCCCGTCTATTGCCAGTTACCTATACCTACATACCGTATCTACACGCATACGTACATGCATACATACGTGCATGCATGATTTCTCGGGGCGTGACATTGCCTACATAGACATACACGTACACATACGTGATACACATGTGCACTGTAGTGTAGAGCAAAAGTGTATTACGTGAGTCTAAGCAGGGTAGATAAGTAAGGTGCTGTGCGTGTATGTACAGCAACTCCGTCCAGGGTGATCGGAGAATTAACGACATGGGATGCCTGTGCTTTTCGGTAATTTCGGTAGACAGAGAGATGAGTAGAGGCATTTAAATTACCTACCTACACCACTACTGTACAATTAACAGATAAGGGGGAGAAGGGGAGAGAGAGAACGAAACAGGAAGAAGAAAAACGAGTAGATAGAGGTGGGTGATTGACGAAGGTTGTATTGCAGTTTTTCTTCATGCAATGCTTAATCTCGCATCCGAAGTTGGGAGGGGTGGGTATATACGTATATATATGTCATGTTATACCCATGAAACAACCCTCGTTTTGTTTCGTGGTATTGTCATATTTTCTTTTCCCGGGGTTAGGGGGCCTTTCTTTTTCCATTCTGGTCTCCTGCTTACCCTTTTTCGTTCAGTATTTCTTTTCCTCGGCTTTAGATATCTTTCTTGTTACACTGTATGATAAGAAAGCGTGATACAGTTGAGTTTACTAGGTATTTGGCAACTGGACTAGTAAGCTCGATTCCTAAGGCAGAGGAAAAAACATGCTTAAAATGCCACCTACTTCAGGTAGTCACTTGTAACCGGATACCTTGATGCCCTTGTAGAGGTACAACTCTGGAGATACAGATAGGTGCCCCATTATGAAACCGAACCCAGTTGCCTAGCTTTACAACAATGTATATATGTAGCGAATACCGGTGTCGTTAGCTGATCGTGGCAAATAATAATGATCTAGTCCTTGAAACTGACTTGACTTTTGGGTTATTATTGTGGGGGTTGACTAAGTTTAGCAGCGTTACACACACATGGTTTGATTCACAAGGCTCTCCATACGGAGATTAATACGCGTAGATCATAAGCGTACATCAAACCGACATGGTGGTTCATGTTCTAGATCTACCTATGGCTACCGTAGCGTGTACTATATTTACACTCACTACTACATATATGTACCACCTCTGATTTCATATACCTATCTACGATGGATTCCTCTGCGGCGCAGCAGGAGCAGGGCGCAAAATCCGGGGCTGATAAATACATGCAGATCCTGGCTCAGAGATTGCCCTCGATGCGGCTCTTCAGGTTCGGGGGGTGGTGTACATGTGTTCTTGCTTGCCACAATCTCGTCATGTGACCACTTTCTGTTGGGACCGGGAATAAGTTATATATGATAGGCAATAAGTATCAGCTGAGGTCGCGTATGTGAAAGTTTATCAGGCAGCTATGAGGTTCGTTTGCAGCTATTAAATATGATATTCATATAATGGTCGTGTCACAGAGCACTATAACTTCATCATTTACAATGTATTAAACTGAGATATATATACTATTTAATTCTACGACTGTGATAGTTACTAAGAAGAATGAATTACCCATTCGTATTTGTGATTGCAAAAAGTACCTCTTTGTGAGGAGAGGCGTAGTATGAAATTTATTTGCCTCGATGTTCATGCTTGTGGAAGTATCCATATATTGAGCCGTGTAAGCCGAAGGCGCCATAACCGTCCCACGAAGTAGGTAGTCCTTGGAGTACGCGACATCCTACGCGTTTCTCGCCTCATCGACCTCGATACCTCGGCGCCTCATTCTGCCTCGAGTTACCGTTAAACCCCAAAAAGCAGGCCACTGCAGTTTGTCTCACCTCATCCGCATCCGCAGTACAGCATGACACTCAGGGGCTGCGTGTTCGGATTGCGTCTTATTCTTCTTCCTCCTGCTTTCAAATTAGCTTCGGGGCTACCATTTCCGTACGGTCGTGTAGTGTATATGCCAAACTCACAAACTTTGGCACAGTCAGTCTCACATATGTTCTCTCCCATCACATGATGCCGCCGTGTCCGGGTTCACGACATGATTTCGTGGTATGACTTACTTGCGTGCTCCACGGCACCAAATGGCCGATCTGACGTACAAGCACTTGTGTAGGGGTATGTCTAGTCATTGGTACCGCCAATTATTGAGATGGTGAACTTGTATACTTGCCTATTTAGTTGGAGAGTACCTGTACGCCTAGGTAATGTCCACCCGAACAAAGCGATGAGTAGTACTATGTACAACGATCCATGAAAGCCTCAATCTACAAGGAGCTCCACTAGATCGTTAACATGTTCATATAGGGAGGTATTGTACTAGGACGGGCGAGTTTAGGCTGAACTGTCATCAGTGTAGACTCTTGAGCTTTCCCTTGTCGGCTAGAAGGTATGTGAGTTTTTCGCTACCATCGTGTCGGGCCTTGCGGAAGGGCGGATATAGTGATTAATAACATAGTTCGGGGGGACGGTATGAAAATCGAACATTCGACCGAGAGTGAGAGAGTACAGTACATAGTTCTGCCCAGGGACAATGGGCTAGTCACCTATATGCCGGTGAGTTTGGTTTCACGCAGTTAGTTTCCTATTTTCACGCCCTCGGCAGGTTCGTGTTTTAAAACCAATATCCGTCCTACGCCGAATGATGCGTTATGCGACTGTGTTGCCAATATTTGCACTAACTACATAGAGTCATTCTGTACCTGTTGGTTGGAAATGCGTCATGTTGCATATTGTAGTAAGTATTCGTCTATCTTTACAAAGAGGAAAAAAAGGACTGAGTTAGATCTAACTAACGCAGAGCTCCATAGACCTTTGGGGAAAAAAGGATAAAAGAACAATTATCTCATTCTACAAATCTAAGACTAATGAAAACTCACTCCTCTAGAGAACAAAATGTGAACAAGCAGACTGCTTCAAGTACCCGTGTAATAGGCGATCACAATTCGAGGAGGAATAATGGCAATACCTACCCCAAATATCAGGTACTCGCCCAGGCTTCCTATGGCAGGTTCCGTCTCAGAGCTGAGGGAATTTCCGCGCCACAGTTCTGGATTCAGCTCTTTGACGAGGGATCTGTATGTAGGGTATTCCCAATACTGTATGTACACCTCCAACAACACTAACAACATTCTCACTAGAAGCAAGCCGAGCCGGGATGATTCCTTCCTCTTCTTTTCCCTGTAGTCATTACGCATGGCGTGCTCATATTATGTACTGGTCCTGGTACTGGTACTTGTATCGTTTGGAGGTACAGTAGATACATGTGTATGTAGAGAATCTCTACATTAAGCAGTGCTTACAGCTTCTATTGCACTTACTACTTAAAGCGATAATATACACGATCACGCCTTTACCTGCGAGATTCGCTCTTTCGCTCGTCCGGCCATCCGAATCGGGGATTACCTAACGTAGGATGTAGCATCCCATATCAGCCTGGTACACAGCCAAGGCTCTAGTCTGTTGGTTTCGACGAACAAACAAATAAAACTTCTCTCCTCGTTTTCTTTTACTCTCTTATGAGACTTCGAGGCCGGGATTCAAGTGAGCCATTAACAATATCGTCAAAGTACCAAACGCCGCTGTCACATCGATGCATCTATCACCACTTGTTATCCGCTCCCCCCATCTCATCCCGCACGCACTACACTAGTCTAGACTAGTTCTGACTCAGCTAACTACATAGGAAGTCGTTTTCTGACATACGCCAATTACAATCACATGATACATAACCCATTTTCCTATAATGGGCTTTCATCTGATCCCTCGTGCAGATAAATGGGCTGATCTGACGGTGCGTTACGTAGCAGACGTGTATAGGCGTAGTCATGAAACTTGAAAAAAAAAAAAAAAAAAAAAAAAAAAAAAAAAAAAAAAAAAAAAAAAAAAAAAAAAAAAAAACCTTTGCAACTTACAATCCTGATGACCGGCTAGGTAGCATCTACTTCGGCTTTGGTAAATAGTAGTAAATCATATTCGTGGGAGTGGATGTAGTGGTATGTTGTAGACATGTGTGTTTTGTTGCAACTGCCGCGTCACAATCAAGGTGTTTGAAAGGGACCAAGTTGTCTCTATACACATCCATTACTAAGACCAACGATATGTTAACTTGAACTTACTCTCAGTATATCAGAAGAGCGAGCACGATCAGTAAGTAGATGAACTTCGCCCTTTTGATTTCAATATCAATATAAATATACACATAAAAGGGAAAAGAAGGGATAAAGGCGTATTCATATTATATCATCCTATATACAAACTCTAAAGCCATCAACCCTTCTATGTCCAATGACCAACATTATATGCAGGGAGTTATTCTATATCCAAGATAATAGGGTATCTGCGTAGGTAAGTAGGTGAAAAGAAGCTGAAAAAAAGATCTATCAGATAGATGCCCCTTCTCTCAATGCACAAAAACCGCTTGCTCGTAATTGCGTATACAATCCCTCCAAACGCCATGATGAATGCCCCCCCTGTGTCTATAGGTTAGTTAAGTATGCTTCGAAATGAAAAAGTATCAAGCTCTTCTATCCTCTTGAATCCGCTACCCTCACCACCACGGCCTCCTCATCTCCCATCGTTCTGGGCCGCTGCCGTTCGTCATCATCTAGCAGGGCCTGTCGCAGCTGTTCTCTAACAGCCGGATCTTGCTCTAGCTCTTGCCAGAGCTGGCGGTCCCAATTCTCACAATTTTCAATACCGTGATCATCGTCCTCCACATCTCTTGTCTGTTGTTGTTTCCTCCAAGGTGGCCAGGTCCACAGACCATACTTGACCAGGCCGCGTTTCGCAAGCTTAAAGGCCGTGTCCAAGGCAATGAGGATCAGCAGTATGCCGAAAAGTAGAGCCCACCATAGCGTGTCCTTGCCGAACGTGTTCACGAAGGCGCCGCGGCCGGCATATGGGCTGGGCTGGAGGGGATACACGCCGTTGAGGAAGGCTTGCCAGGCCCACCAGCCGGACACGGTGATACCGAACGAGCCCATGACGATGGCCGACTTGTAGTGTGTCTCCATGATGCTGATTAGGTGGTTGACCAGTTAGTGATGGTGATGATGCTTTTTTCCTCATTTAAATTGAGACTTCGATGGATAGAGAAGAGAGGAGGAACTTACAAGAGTTTGTAATTGGTCCACAATATGCCAATGGAAAATGCGAGATCGCCAAAGGCAAACAGACCATTGTCACGGGGGTGACCGAACACGTTATACCCGAGCCAAAGGAGCACCCAGACCAGTGTGCCGTCGATTACGGCCCCTGTCATCCAGGCCACGAACCTGGGAAAGTTGAGCTCGCGATTTCGCTGACCGTGAACGTATAGCTCGGGGACGGCAAGCAGGGTCTCGGCGCGCAAGTCCTGCTCCCATATGCCCATACAGAGCACACACAAGCTCGTGAACAAGATGTTGAGGACTGTCAGACTGTAGCTCTCGTAGAGACTCGTCCCCGTGTAGCCGTTGTACATTTGGTACATGGCCGTCGGTAGATAGAAGAACATCTCTTTCCAGAACGTCGCCAAGATGAACTTTCCAGTCCTGACATAGTTCCACCGTCCGTGGACGAGAAGGAGCCGCTGCAAAAAGCGGAACTGGGCAATAGAATAATCGGCAACGCGAGCAGCCTGCAAGCCTTCCTTGCCGGATATCCCTACACCCACATGGGAAGCGGAAATCATGGCCAAGTCGTTCGCGCCATCGCCAATCGCTAGTGTCAAGGCTTTTGGCACTTGTTGCCGGATGGCCTTCACGATCGTCGACTTTTGAGCCGGCGATGCACGACAGCATATCACCGAGTCGATCGTCGGAATGAGCGAGTAAAAGAGGTCGGTGACCGGTAGCGATTTCTCAATAGTGGCAAGTGTCTGTCCATCTACCACCACAACGCTATGGACTGTCCCAGTTTGCAGATCTTCCATAATGTCTCGGATCTGGCCCTCTATATCCCCTTTTGTGGAATCAAGAATGAACACGTCAGAACCAGGGCGACAAATCCGGGCCGAATGCGCGATATTGATGGCAGTTTCACGCTTATCGCCCGTCAGCATCCAGATCTTGATATTGGCACGTCGAAGTTTGTCGATGGTCTCAGGTACACCGACTTGAAGCTTATCTTCGATTGCAGTTGCACCAACAAGATCAAGTGTCTGCTCTATCTGTTCACCCGCATCCTCAATCTTGTCCTGACGATCTATTAGACTAGTTGTTGCTTTGTGGTAAAGCTCCTTCCAATCCATGTACTCGGCTTCGGGAATGAATTTCCGAGCGACGAGAAGCGTGCGAAGCCCTTCGGTAGCATATTCATCGAGATGTCTGAAACACCGATCGAAAACAGTGCCTTCATCCATGATAGAGGATTCTTCCAGAAAACTAAACTTGTTCTGGGTTGGCGGAATGGGAGTTATGGGACTGGCTCGTGATAGTCTTTTTACGACATCCAAAGATGTCGTACGGATATTCAGAGAGGGACGGCTTTTATCTTCGGACACTCGAGATCGTGACGGCTCTACTGATCTACTGCGTTCCAGAACTGGTCGGTTGGCTAGCTGAGTCGAGTCGAGACTGTCACGATTCGTTGCAAAGCTACGACGCAAGGTGAAACTTGGGCGACCACCAAAGCTATTCCGGACTTCTAGCTGCTCGCTCCGGCGTGCTATTTCCCGCTCCAGATCGGCACTTTTGCGCACTTCTGACGCTTTTTCTTTGGCCAGCTGGGCTAATTTGAGCCTCGGCATGATCGCCGAATCGGCGCCCTTACAGATAAGACAGATTCGCCCATCTGGGTAACGTACGATGATAGACATGCGCTTTCGTTTGCTACTGAACTCGATCACGTCCAGAATCTGATAAGTGTCGATTTGCTCTTTCCCATTTTCTAAACCAAGTCGAAGTGTGACACTCTGAGAAGACCGATGAGTGACCAAGTACCCTAGTTCACTAGCAGCTCGTACAAGAGCCAGTTCATCCGGCGATGAGGACTGATATTCGAGCTGCCCATCTCTCATTTCCGGGAGACAGGTATGGCAGAGGGCTAAGCATAAAATGTAGTCTCTAGCGCGTGTTGCAAAATATGACGTTGGGCGCAGCCTGATGTACTCCAAGAGGTCTGATGTAGTGAGTTCCGGCTGCAGATTGTGAGGCCGGGCAGTTGACCTCCACTGAGAAGATCTTCTGCTTAGGGGAAAAGTGGGCGTATTTGGGGAAGCAATAGAAAATAGCTCAATATCTTCATACAGGGCACTGCTGGTGTCGTCAGATTTGCTTCTGCTTGGCGAAAGTTTGGGAGTATGGGTAGTTTGCTTCTCGCTTGACTGGTTCTCGGATAGATCCATCTCGTGAAGCCAAGAAGTCCCGGCGATGCTCAATTTGCGAAATTTCATAACATTGTCTGTTAATGTACCCGTCTTATCGGAGAACACATAACTGACTTGCCCGAGATTTTCGAGGATGGTGTTGGTATTACATCGAGCGGGAGTGTCGGATACTTCATCATACATTTCTATATCGCCATTTAACAAAAGCAATTGTCCGATTCTCGTTAGCTCCAGAGTCACATACAGTGACAGAGGAACAATATTGTTGTACTGAATTGCGTAGCCAATGATGATCTGTTTGAGCTGAACAGTAGCATTGGATATATACCAAGATTTGCGTTCCGTCGCTGCCCGCCACATGACATAACCGGCTGAACAGCCAGCAGTAAGAACAATAACGTAGAAAACGAGCGTGAGAACTATCTTGTTCGCTATTGCTTCGAGTGCCGGCTTCTTGGCATCCGGGTGTTGATTTGCGTTCATCCGAATTTTGCACTCTTCTCCAGTATTGATGACAAGACCGATAACGCAACTAGTGTTCCTAATCGTGCTTCCACGGTAGATAACCTGATTTGAAGTGAGAGGGAATGTTTTCCCACTTGTGGTGACTCGACCATCATAGTGGTACAGATCTGGGTTTGGATCCTCGGATACAAACTCGGCCGCAGTCGACCGGAGGCCAGCTATTGAGTCACAATCCTTAAAATCTCCAAGGGATTCCCTACTCTTAAGATTAGTTTCGCCATCGAGGTCCATGGTATCAATATACGCTATGCCATTCTCGCCGGTTGCATGAAGGAGAATGATATCAGCGGGCACGGGGTCGTCGCGTCGAAGCTTGACGATATCCCCAACCTTGACATCTCTCCATTCAATCTGGGCCCAGGAATAGTCTTCATCTTTGTCATCGCTTTCAGGATCAGCATCAACTGTGATGATGTGGGATTCTTTCCTAGACCATGGCCATCTTGTCGCAATCGGAACTGCGTCCAGCGCACGCGGTCTCAGAACTGTCGTTGCTCTTGCATTTTCAATCTTGTCTAAACGGTGTCGTTTGAAGTCGTCGTAGCCTTCTTTCAGTATAGTCAGGGCGACGAAGAAGAACAGAGGCACAATAGTGGTATAGGTGCCGGTAGTACTCAGACCTGGAACGGTCTGAGGAATACCAATGGCTAGAAAGTAGGCATTGGATAGTCGCGTAAACTGAAATATCAATTGCTTGGGCACAAAGTCGTAGATAGTGTACCGGGAGGTCCGGATAGCGTTCGATATGTAGGGATTGCCACGCCTCTCATCAACAAGTGGCTCGTGATGGTGGCCGAGTTGCAGGGGGACGTGGCGTCCGTCTTTGGATGGCTTGAGAGGTTTCTGTCGCAATATGGTCTCGAGGAAGTAGGTTTTGTACAAGCGGGAGGCATGGCTATATATGGTTGACTTCAAGACACGGTATCTTCTGCGCCGAGAGGTCTGTGACGCCCGACGAGGGCCTGTAGTCTGCTTTTCTAAGCCATGGCTAGACGCATGGCCCATGGGAGACATAACGAGTGTTAAAGAGGTATTTGTATCAAACCGCAAAGCGGCAGCGGTGACAACATCGCCGGCCGACAAGTCAGTGTTCGTAAAGCAACGGGAGGTTTTGAATCACGGTTGAAATGCGGGCGATGATCTCGGATCTCGACAGCGCGCAAATGCAGACGAATGAAAGTCGCGAGGGATAGGAGCTTTGAATGGGGCTAGTGAGCGGTAGTCTCGGATATTACGTGGATGGTCTATATTTTCTACCTAGTATGGCGCGATCATAGCTAACGACAGATGTAGGTATAGGACTCCAAAATAAGATAAACGAGCGACGGCCCTGAATCAGGGATTAGGATATTGGGGTTGCTACTAAGTAGAGCTTGTGTAAACCACGATATTGACTAGGTAGGACATGACGGAGTGAGTCAAAGAATGAAACGAAGTTTATCGCAACTACATTATGGTGTATTTACATGTGGAAACCCAATTGGCTTACTTTTGTACGCATTACTCAGCCCATACAACACTCGTGCCAGACTCGTGCCTTCGTATGTCGAAGCAACCTTGGAACTGACCCATTTGTTTCGACTTAGGAATGCTTTAGATCCGTGGAATCCCGGCGGCGCGGTAGCTACTGTACCTACTCGCCTACATAACAGTCATCAGATCAGAGCGCATACTCGATACCTACGTAAGTACTTAAGTAAGTATGGCAAGCATTGGATGCCGTGCACTAGGTACGGTACTATCAAGAAATACCCGAAGCACCGACAGTGCCAAGTTCTAGCAGCCCACAACCTTGCATCAATTTCGTCACTTTTGACAGGGCTGGGCCTGTGCTACCTACAGGCAGCTGGGCTTGAATGGCAGCTGACATCTGAAAGGTACCGTATGCATTCTTAATTCTGTGCTAAGGTGAGGAGGTCCACTCCAATTCAGGTTGATTTCCCAGCTCAACTTGGTAAATATGAATAACTGGCGGCATTTGAAACTTGACTCGTTAGACTTTGTTTGTCTCTATTAGCTTCCATGTAAGCTTGTTTGCTCAAGTTGCCCAAATCCGAGGACATTGTACGTAGGCAGGAAGAAATCTAAACTTGCATAAGAGACTTGTACTTAGTGTACCTGCCTGTGTTGGTTAACTCTAGCATAAGAGAGAAATTGAATAGTATAGACTGCTTCAATGGTAGTTATTAGAGGAAACCCGTCGCTGCAGAAGGATGCACTGGCCGCCATGGAGTTAAAGCCACTCTTTTCCCTTCAACTAAATGAGGCTATGCAACACTTTCAACGAAGAGTACCAACTACCACCTATACCCAAAACGAAATTCGGGGCGCTCCGGTATCGCCTTAAATGTCTCGGGTAGTGTACTGGTGCATTAGGTAGTACTCAATGATAATGATACTCGGTCATCTAGAGCAGGTGTGTCGTCGTCGTCGTCGTCGTGTGACACAACCCTCATGAGGTATATAGGCATATAGGTACTTAGGTAGATAGGAAGTATCGTGTCTCTTCCCGAGGTTTAATAACGAGCATGACAGGTATCTAACTACGATCAGTCTTTAATTTGAAGATACGTGATGAATGAATGCTCTTGTACCGGCAGTCAGCTTGAGGCGCCATATACCTACCGTACCTACTTAGGTGCTTTTAGTTGCAAGACTCGAATCTACCTTATAATGGAATACCTACCCAATTTTGTAAATTGTCCAGGGTTTATCTCCCGAATACGCTCTTTGTCATGGTTGTTGGCGTTGGCGTTGGCGTTGGCGCTGTACCTACAGATACCTAACCTAGGTACTGTACAGCGTTGTACCTATGCCGTGCAACCGACCTAGACAGAGCCCTATGACCCCAGCCCAGACCCCAGGCGAAAGACCTAATGATAACGATAGCAGCCGCTAAACCTCCCGCTGTCAACCGTTAGCATACCAGGCTAAGCACCTGCCTGGGACCCTACCTACCCCTGGACCAGACCAGATCATACGTAGGAGGATACTTTCTTGTCGTCACGATCTAACCTAACCTCCCCCTTTCGCTCTCTCTATATCCTCTTCATCTCTGTCCCTTTCCATACAGAATAGTCACATAGCGAAGTGCAACCAGGAGAGTGCCACATCCTATGCATGTCTCCTCCTGAGCAACCGCTCCACGAGTCGTCCGCGAGCCGCACCGTTACCTCCGATCATGACCCCGCGATGAGCTACCCCAAGACGCCGGAAGAGGGCTTGCAAGATAACGCCCCTCCAATCGCTATTACTTCACCACCCAGTTCCTCTGAGCTCGCCACTGCTGGTCCGGCCCAGACGGAAGACGAGAATGAAACAGATGCCGGCCGTGGAGATGCCTCCGGGCTCAACATGACGAGTCAAGTCTCAGAACCGATCCATCAAGGCCAAGATGTCGCCGAGGACACCATTCCCAACAATCCCGATCCCGCCGCTGAGGCCATGGAATCCTCAGTCTCTACTCTCAAGCCATCCAGACCCCAATTTCTAACGATTAATACCGCTCCTTATATCGACCCGACACCGCCTACACCCACCTCCCAAACGCCATCGAGAACGAATTCAGCCCACAGGTCTAAGGGACAAAGCTCGGCTTCTTCGCCCACACCGTCTGATGCTGGTTATGATGAAACACGATTTGCCAGTGAGGACGAGCGGGAGGGCGTTTCGCGCTCCGAGATTCAGAGTATTATGGAACAATTCCCAGAGGACGGAGGCGGACCAGGAGAGGAGGAAGTCATGAGCCCTAGGCTCGAGATCGCCTCACCGCATCTGACCAGCCCTCCGTTACAGCATCCTCCAAGGAAGTCTAGTCTCGAGCCGTTAGCCCCGAGCATTGCACAGCAGCTTCAGGAATTGCAGGGCTTAAGAATCTCAAACACCTCGCCAACGAGCACACGCTCCAAGGGCAAGCTGCTCGCCCATGATCAAGGTCCTCCGGTGCCTCCTAAGGATGGACAACCGGATGAGAAGCTGAACCCTGTAGACTCGCCCGTATCGTCCACAGCGACCCTCCATCGGCCCCCACCCCCGGAGCCTGAGCCAGAACCGGCCTTACCCTTCGACTTTCATCGCTTTTTAGAACAATTAAAGCATAAGAAAGCTGACCCAGTGGCACGATACCTGAAGTCTTTCTTGAACGAGTTCGGGAAGCGACAATGGATGGTTCATGAGCAGGTCAAGATCATTGGCGACTTTCTGGCTTTTATTGCCAATAAAATGGCTCAGTGCGAGGTTTGGAGGGAAGTGTCGGACGCTGAATTCGATAATGCTCGCGAAGGTATGGAAAAACTAGTCATGAATCGACTGTATAGCCAGACCTTTTCGCCAGCTATTCCTGCACCACAACCTATCCCCGGTGCAAAGCCGAAAAAACGTGGAGGAGACCCGCCGATGGGCCCTGGTCGGAAGGGACAACATCAAGAAGATGTTGAGAGAGACGACATCCTGGCGCAGAAAATCAGTATCTATGGATGGGTAAGGGAAGAACATTTGGATATACCACCAGTTACTGAAAGCGGGAAGAGGTTTCTCATCCTAGCTCAGCAAGGTCAGCCTCGTAACCATAAAAACATGACATACGGCGCTAATTGTAGTAGAGCTCTTGAAGATCAGGTCTTACAGAGCACCTCGAGATAAGATTATATGTGTGCTTAATTGCTGCAAAGTCATATTTGGTACGTTTCCTTGAGAATGGTGAGAGCATCTAGCTTACGTTCTCCAACAGGTCTTCTCAAGCATAACAAATCAGATTCATCAGCGGATAGTTTTATGCCACTCCTCATCTATGTTGTGCTGCGGGCCAACCCGGACCACCTAGTGTCCAACGTCCAGTATATTCTACGCTTTCGCAATCAAGAAAAGTTGAGTGGCGAAGCCGGCTACTATCTCTCATCTTTGGTAAGGAATAACGGTATCGGAACCTTTCGTAGCCTGTATTCTTACTGAATTTCTCTAGCTGGGTGCTGTGCAATTCATTGAAAATATGGATCGCACTACCTTAACGATATCGGATGAAGACTTTGAGCAGAATGTAGAGGCGGCCGTCTCAGCAATTGCTGAAAAACATCGTGCAGAAGAAGCCTCCAATCGACTACCGGCGAATCTGTCTGAGAAGGGTGGGCTGTATCCGGGAGAGTCATCTTCAACGCGCCCATCGTTTGAGCAAGATGGTTCCAGAACGCCACGGCGATCCACATCCCGCGACGGCCCAGACTCTGGTGACGAGGCGCCAGCGATTGCTGGGCTGTTACGCACTATCCAAAAGCCGTTATCATCGATTGGAAGGATATTTTCAGACGAGTCCGGTGCTGCTGGGCCAAGCACACCCGCTCACACCCCGCAGCCGAATCCGACATTATCACGATCAAGCGCGAGACCTGCTACGGGGTCAAATCCTGACCCCGAAGTACCACCAATGGCCGTACGCCAACATTTATCTGCACAGGAAGCAGCCGCCAGACAAGCAAGTGCTGAGGCGGCAGAAGCGTATCGACTGCAAAGGGCAGAACATAATAACGTAGTTGAAACACTTGCAAGCATGTTCCCAGACCTAGATCGGGAAATCATTAGTGATGTTGTCCACCAAAAGGAAGGAAGGTTAGTATTCTAAATAAACCCGCCTGTATCAACCCAGCTGATTAGTATGACTACAGAGTCGGTCTTGCAGTTGATGCTTGTCTAGCATTGAGCGCTTAATATGCAATATTTTCATCCAAGTAGCCTGGCATCCTCACTCCGGAGGAAAGGACTGGGGTGCAAGGTATATACTCATCCAAGAAGGTAATCTAACCAGCTGGGTCCCTGAAATATTACTATATGACCGGGGCCTAACACACCGGATTTAGAAGCGGAGGTTAATAATACCCCTAATTCCCAGCCTCATCTTATTTCATCTTGCTACTACTACTGAGCACTATCCAGTCATATACACTTAGTAGAAGATAAATCTCTTCTGTGTGTGCCTAGTATTAAGCAAACCAAGACACGATTTCCACAATTAGTATACCTAGCTGAGAAACTTGCGTACTGAAATGGCACTGCTACAAGCTGTGCTGTGCTGTGCTGTATGGTGTTTGGTATTTCTTACTGGGGGGTGAATACATTCATGCCGGCTGAATAGATATTGGTGTAAGAGACTGTATGGCGCACTTGGGATGTTAGAATAGGTAGAGGTGTGGTGGCAATTGGATAGCAAATAATGTCTAAGCACTCTATCGTCGGTGTCTAACTATATGCGTATATACTTGTAACTATAAGGCGGACTTAATATCATGAAAAGGCAGATAATTGCCGAAGCTGATGAGGAAAACGACATAATTACTTAGATCAACACTGGTATAATCGAGTAAGTGCCTGCGAAGGACGGGGAACTTATTGCTCTATAGATTAATTAAGTGTATAGAGTAAATATGGCACGATATAGTCAAGTAAAACCACGATGTAATTTGTATGAATGTATGGATTTTGGAAATGTATTCTATATACGGAGAATGATGTCAAAGATCAAGCCGAGCTCAGCAGGAAAGGAAGTTGTGCCGAGAGACTCGATCGATGAATGCAGGATGAGGGATCACAAATTCGAGGCAATATATACATGAGAGTGAGTGAAGTACTGTCTTTCAGCAGTACCATCTTAACATTTCCCCTCCTCGGACCGATTATCGTTGGAGAAAGACAAAACAGCAGCTAGAGTAGATCGATGACGGCTGAAGCTTCGACCGCAGATGTCACCGTGTTCAGGCGCTTGCCTTGAAGGTCGAGTTGAGGGGGCCGAACTTGATGTTGGAGTACGTGACGCTGGAGTTCGGCGAGACCTCCTCGACGTCGGCGGGGACGCCGGAGGAGGTGGCGCAGCTGCCGCGCTCGGCGCCGGGGCCGGCCGCGTCGACGGGGAAGGTGGAGTCGAGCCACAGCATGTTGGAGGCGTGGTCGTCCCAGATGGACATGACGAGGACCATGTCCTCTGCGAGGGCCTCGCCCATGCCGGCTAGGCCGCCGCGCTGGTTGAAGATGTTCTGGTCGCCGAAGGCCGTCTTCTGCGCGTCGCAGTAGTCCTGGGTGATCGAGTTGCCGCCGACGCCCGAGATGGTGCTCTCGCTGTTGGGGATGACTTTCCCGCCCTGCACGTAGAAGCGCTTGATCTCGCTCAGCTGGCCGCCGGACTCGATGAATTGCGTGACCACGGTGATCTTCTTCTTCGTGTCGATGGTGAGACCCTCGCCGTAGAAGCTCTTGTCGCCCTGCCGGTAGCTGTTGAAGTCGCATCCGTCGGGGTCGCAGTCGCCGGCGTAGCGGTCCCCGGAGTACGTGCCGCCGCAGGAATCGCCCTCACACGAGTGGTACGCGGAGTTGGTGCAGGGGTGAGGAGTGTAGGCGGAGGAGATCTTGTTGGCCTCCCAGATATCCATCTCCGCGCAGCAAGCACCGAGGTTACCAACACCGGCGTTCGCGTCGTTGGACGAGGGCTCCCATCCTTCCACGTTGGCCTTGCCATCGATGAATTTGAGATCACGAGGGCATTGCGAGTCACAGTAACCTGTGCCGTACTTGGCGCCGGCGGTGTTGCCGCTCTGCGTGGACATGCCACCATCAAGGGCCATAGAGACGAAGTACAGAGCACCGTTCAAACCGCAACTACAAACTTAATTAGGCTAAACCCCTTAATTAGATCCGATTGGAGAAGGCAGGAACTTACGGCAAGTTGGAGACGTCGACATCGAAGGTGAACTCGTTGCCTAGAAGCTTGAAGCCCTGGTAGGTGGTGTCGTCCTTCATCAGATAGAGACGGCTACCGATGTTTTTGCTGTAAGGGCCCTGGGTGGTGAACTTGAGGGTCATGGCGTTGCCGGATGTGGTGACGCCGTATGTTCCAGAGTAGTCGGCACCGTCGAGGCAGCATTTAGAGACGCAAGACTCGGCATCCGTGCAGCGAGTTGTGTCCCACTCGTTGCCGTCGTAGCAGTTGGTTCCAGATGAGTCGTGAACCCATCGCCAGTTGGAGTCAACGACGACCTTGCCGTTGACAGTGGTGCAGCTACCACCTGAGCTGCACTGCTGCCATGTCATGGAAGGGTGAGTCTCAGCTGTGAGTGAGGCGGCACACTGAGCTTTGGCAGTGGCGACGAGGGCGCCGATGACGGCGAGTTTGCTGTGCATGTGCATGGTGATAAGCTGGCTCTGGTCAATGTAAGACTGGATGTCTGCTATAGGGAATCGTAAAAGAATGTCTCGAGTTGTTGTGAGATCATGGTCTTATATATATCGATCTTTCACCCCCTTTCACACTATGATTGGTGTACATTGCTTGAAGGAACCCAATCACCACCATGTTGCCTTGTTTGTCGATCCTGAGTCGACCATTTGCAGACTCTGGAGCGGAAGAGCGTCCAGCTTAGCTTTGGACAGTCTCCCAGTAAGGAGAAGTCCCGGCTGACGGGCCGCAACTTCGTCTTGATGGGGGACATTTCGTGCGCTTCCACGCTCAGGGGTAGGACCGAAATGATCACAGGGGGCAAGGCATTGTGCCGTTCGTACATGTACGCATGCTAGGCCAAGACGAGGGTAGGACACGCATATGCCCAACTGTGAGCCGCTGTTTGTTTGGGACCCCTGAGGCTCGTCACTCGCAGGCTACACTACCAGGCAGGCGCTCCGACGCGGCGGGTTGTCATGGGAGTGGGACGAGGGCATAGAGAGCTACGGTCGAAAGCACCGGGAGTGGAGATTCACGGTGGACCGCTCATTGGAGGCCTTTCCTCAATGACAACGGAGGCACCTGGCCGAATATGACTAGATAGGACAGCTCCGGGATTGTACACCAGAACGAGCGCCTGTGTATATGCCTTAGGTCCCGGATTTTCGCAAGCATGGTTGTCATGCTCTGCTCTACTGACAGTGGGAACTACTCCTACTGCAGAGCGTTGAGAATAGCATTGCAACTGCGTCGGCACTCTGGTTGCAATCACTCATCGAAGCAGAGACTTGGCTGACGATCTTCCCCGAATTTCTCGATTTTTGCAGGGTTACTCCGCAGTAGGATAAGAGTTACCCAAAGAGCATGTTTAACCCCCACATGATGGTCGCAGGCGAGCCGGGTAGCTGGTGTCCTTTTTGGATCTATGCGACCTGGCTGGTGGGAAATAGGTTGCCCATGTTCTGCATCAAATAAATGAAATCCTGCGAATAGTAGTGTGTGTCGCGTAAAGTAAAAATCGTCAAGGTTGATGTCAGGCCACGCATTGAATTTGAGATTCTGATCACAAGTCATGGATAGTTATGCCCGAGGATTATGGTGTGCAGGCCGGTATGAAAGCGTTTAATACTACCGCATCGTATGCCTGGTATTAGTAGACTGGAATGTAGTGGAATGGGGGATACATTTTGAACGAAGCTGGAAAACCACCGCACTCTCTCGACTTGGTCGGATGTGCGGTCCACCACGCGAGTCCCAAGATCGATTGACCACTTATGGCGGTCGAACAGAAACATGCTCTCCAGGTGCCGAGATTAACGAGAATCGAAATGACCTCACTGTACTACGATATTGCATCGAGGTAGTCGTACAAAATAATAAGCGAAGTAGGCACTAACATGTTAGATTCGAGGCCTACTCGTAGACGGTATGTCTATCATGAAACAACACCCATGACGTTGGCAGGGGGCCGATTCGTTGGTGAATGTAACTACATGTACACGGATCAGAGCGAGCAAGGAACATGGCAGAACACATTTAACGTGCACGTACATGGTAGGCAGGTGAACAGGGAACTAGCGGCTCGAAATCCGATATCATGTTGAGTACGCTTGAACCTTGCGAATAAACAAGGTACGCTAGAGTGTCTGCATGGAGCATACCGCATGGCAGCATGATGACAACATTTTTGTTTTCATCTACGCGCTGCTAGGCACGGAAAGCCTGCCCGAAACTTATCTGCCTTCTAATCTTAGCATGAGCGATAAATCGTGAAAAGGACGCTTGCTCGAGGAATCGGGTGATACGTTCAAGGTTGACAGCGAAACCCGAGACCGGCCTTTCAGCAGCTGGATCCTAGCGTGGCAACTCGGTATGTTGCTCCGGCTTTCCTGAAATGGATAGAGTTGCAATATCATGGTAAGTAATGATCACGAAGGTAATACGCGCACTTATATACACACTGAAAGGAGCATTATGAGAGGCACACGAAGACGGGGAAAGACGAGAGAGGGAGGGTAGCGTATCTAAGTGGTACTAGGAATTCAAAGCAATCGTTGATGTATCTTTGATGCCTGTCTCTGACCACTCTTGGGGTAACCCGCTGATCAACGTGATCCCTCGCTTTGATGTGTAGACTACAAGTTACATAAGTGAAGCTGTGTAGAATGAATCCCGAGGCGCATAGAAGCGCTACTTAAGCTTCCAAAGACACCTGGTCTGCCATAGACTCTGGTCGGCCACTGGCTAAATCAAGTTTCTCGATGGACGACACCTTTTTTGTTGCCGGCTTCTTCTTGCGCTTTCCGCTACCTGAACCGGACACCGTCGGCGCCTCCCGTATCCAGCGGGCGACGGCCTCCGCACGCTCGGTCAAAATGGGATATTCTCTGCCATCATCAACAGCCCACCTCTTAGGTGCGGAATTCGAATTTGGATTGGGAGATGTACCGCCGGAGACCGTAGTTTGATCAGCCTCGGCACGTTTTTGACGAGCAAGAATCGCCGCTTTGAAGCTGGCCTCGTCATTCACCCTTTCATCTTCCAAAGCTTCAATGATGGCCTGCTGTCTTATTCGTTCTCTACGCTGTTCATCTGTCTCAACGGGGCTAGTACTGCTTGTGATAGACAAAGCATTGACTCCGGCTGTGGGAGTGGACATGGTGTTCGCTGATAGCGGAATAGGAAGAGGCGCAGGAGCACAAAGCGCCTCCCAGCTTGATCCAAGTTCGATCCAATTTTCTGCCCGCCGCAGAACTTCAATCCAGTCTGCACGAGCGGGCGATCTGCTAGCTTGGAAGACCGGATACCCGTCTGCCAGCCGAGCCAGACGGGCCACCATGTAAGCATGGCGTTGAAGTTCCTTCGTCGATGTCTGGATGAGGGTGTGACATAGTAGCAATGAATGTAACGCATCAGTAAGAAGCGGGTGGTACGTTACGACTTCAGTCGTTGTTTCCAAAGCGTCGACAGGATTGGACGCAAACGCAGCACACGCGATGTCGTTGGATGGATAAGGAGGAAGATCTGCCGGTGGTGTGGCTGAGAACAAGGTGGCTAGGGGGTAGACAGTATGTCCAACAGAACTGCCAGTCGGGCTATTTGATTCCTGCGAAGCCCAGCGGGATTGTCCGTAGTGTCGCTTGTTCCTATGTGTCGCCTGGTTGACCTGACGGCTGAAGTCGTCAGATACCTCAATCGGCAAGTTGGGTGAATGATGGAAGTGTTTAAGATATTCCATGTAATCTCGCAATGCACGCTTCGCATATAGTCGTACGGTTTTCCTGCCCTCGAGCTGTCTCTTAGTTGGCACTTGATCTCCGGATGTGCCGTCCGTGACCCCTTCTCTTATAGGCCCACTCCCGTTAGTGCCACCAACGCCGTTGACACCATTACCGGCGGGCTCACCGAGATCGTTTGCTAATGCAGGCTCGACATAGTCACATGCCAGGGTCAAGTAGCAGCCTGCACGCTGAAATAACAGCTGCACCTCCGTACTGCTTGGGTGGTCTTTTTCATCAAGTGGAGGGTTGTCCCGACGTCTACCGGCCCTGCGCTCAAGCTGCATAGATTCTTCCCCAGGGCGCTTATGCGGTCTGTTGAGACGACAGACACTTAACGCGGAAGTGAGGTCTTGAGCTGCACCCTCAAAATCCTCTTTGAACATCCGAACAATAGCGCGAGTGCGCAAAGGCTCGCAGTCCGACGGTCGCTGCGCAATAATCATGTCCAAAGCGCGCAAGTCTGTACACTCTGCCAATTGCCTGGAGGGGATCTTTTCGTGAAAGAAATGCACATAATTCGCATCCGGGTCATGTGGTGATCGCTGCAACACGAGCCCAGCAACATTCTCTAGCGTGGATGTCGACTGCATAGTAGCAACACTTGAGGCTATCTCGTCAAGACGATAGGCCCGTGATAGCTTCTGGGTGGCCTGTTCTCGCATACGAAACCTCCTCTCGGGACTAAGCTTTGCACCTCCATTACTGCCATATTGTAATCCTAGCCCCAGCGCTTCTATATGATGCGTGGGAAACCCCGCGAGCGAATTGGATAAGGCCAAGGAGGTGACACCGTGTGCTGCACGCACAGACAGCTCTGTAGCTCCGTCGACGAGCTGTCTGATCTTAACCAAGTCATAAAAGACGGCTGGGTCGACGGGGCGTGGGAGAGGCATGTAGTAGTTCGCATTGGCGAGGGTTTCGAGCACTTCGACGGGCAATTGGAGCCATGGTCCATGGAACGAAGATATGTATCGCCAATGCCTGCACAAAGGACGTGATAGTGGTCAGTCAGGATATGCTCATATTATGCAACAATCAGATGAAATGGGCGCAGCAACTTTTTCCTTTTAGCAAGGCGCAACAACGCTCGAGCAACGACCCATAGTAAGGGCGGCAGATGGGAACCAAAGACTCACTTATTTCTACATATGACGAGAGCCGACGAGGATACAGTGGGCGCGGTCGCAGCGGGGGAGCCTTTGTTTTTCTTAGCGGCAGTCGAATTGAGCGGCGAAGGTTGAGTCGTCTCGGCCGGAGAGTCGCCTGGCGCTGATTTCTTGCCCTTCTTCCCCATGGCGCATTGAAACGGCTCGACGAAGGGAAGGGCTCAGTTGAACGATGGCGACTGAGATGGGGACGGCGAATTGGTAGTTTTACTTGGCTGAAAAGGGAAATTCACGCGATTCATGCCTATCTGGTAGTAAGAAGAGGATGTTGAACAAGGATACAGTGAGGCCGGGGCAATGGAGTCTGGACGTGACTATGACGATACCACGTGTATGATCGCAGGCACAGATGCAGATGGCGACGCAGACAGAGACGCAGAGAATAGCATTGTACAGGACGAGATTCCGAATGATACCTATCTAAGCAACAAGGCCCTTTGCCGAATGTCTTAGGTGTAAGGCGCCGATATCTAAATGCAAGGTACCTACTTCAACCCCGGCGTAGAGGCGAAAGTGGGATGAAAAGTAAAAGTGCTTGAAGCTCGTGTTGCAGGTTCGGCGGGCGCAGCATTGGCGGCCGCTGATTCGTGCAGGGAGCCCGTGCAGTTACATTTAGTGCCTGGATAAAGCATGAAGCCCCTGTAAGATGGTTTTAAGATGGCGTCTGATAGCGTCCGATAGCGTAAGATAGTGCGATAAGTAGGCTTATCCTCCTTATCGTCCTATCTTCTATGGTGGGACAATTGATCTAGGTACTCTATCTCATGCTGTCCCCTCCATCAATCTCTTGGCTTTGTCTGCGAAGAATGAATACTTACTTCGTAAGTAAGTAGATAATAGATAGTGGCACATGAGATTGATGCATACATCTTACTCTTGATGCCTATCTCCATAATCCAGATCGAAACTCTTAATTAAGGTAGATGTACATAGGTGCAGGAGCAATACACGCACTCCGGGGTAGGTACCCTCCCGGGTAGCCGCTCTCTTTTAACAGACGGGCGAGACACTCAAGATCTTCATATCAATGATTACTATCCACCTACATGCCTAAGCAAAAGGAGAGGAGGGCAAATCAAAGGAAAACAGCTTGTTCACTGTAGAAACATCCAGAAGTCGTCAAACAGGTTGTTGTTTGATGTCTTTCTCCCATTCCCTCTTTACCTCATCCAGAAGCTTCATATCTCCCAATACGTCAACTGCTACGGCAGCCATAGCTTTCCCAGCACGAAGGCAATTCTCGAATGCAACTCTTGTTCCCGCTGCTTCTGCAAATCCAGGGTTGTGGGGCCCCGCACCCCCTGGGCCGGGAGGAATCGAGAATCCAACGTTGAGGCTCGGCATGGCGTAGCTGATATCCCCCTGATCCGTGCTGGCCAGTGTGCGCCCTTCTACCTCATCCAGTTCCGGATTGTCAGGAATCGGATCCGGCGGGGAGAGCTGGTTGAAGTGCCGACGATAGTGGTCTGCAAGCACGCGGTTGGGGACGTGGTCGGCATACGACTGGACGGGCGTCATCTTCAGAGTGGCTCTCGTCGCAGACGCTCCCGCCTCGAAGCAACCGTCAACCATTTTCCTCAACTCGCGCAGTCTAGCCTGCGAGTGAGCCCGGACAACGAAGTTGCCCGCTGTGTATGCATGGATGACGTTAGGTCGAACACCACCGGCCGTGATATTGCCCTGTATCACATCGCTTGGCATCGTCTGTTGACGGAGGACAGAAATGGCGTTGTATGCCGTAATAAGTGCGTCTAAGGCGTTGATGCCCAGCCATGGGTTGGCCGCTGCATGGGCTTCGCGCCCGAAATACTCTACTTTAAATGCTGTATACGCGGATGTGCGCATAATGGCGTGGTTCTTGGTGATACCAGGATGCGACAGTATACTAATATCGACCTTATGGTCTCGGTACGCGCCAGCCTGTAGCAGTTTGATTTTTCCGCCACCGCCTGAATTCATGTTAATACTCGCTCAGGAAAGGTATTCAAATCATCACTGGACCAAGGTTTGAGTGCTGCCTACCTTCTTCTGCGGGTGTCCCGAAGAGCACCACCTTACCGCCTAGTTGGCCCTGTTTAAGTATCTCCGCTACAGCTAGGCCGGCTGCTACGGAAGCTGTCGCGATGAGGTTATGGCCACAGGCATGTCCGATGCCATCCAATGCATCTATCTCCCAGCCGTCAGTTTGAGTCAATACAAGATACAAGACCGAACCCTCTAGGACATACCCATCTCTACATTAAAGGAGACAACAGGCCCTTTCTTCCCGCTATCGAACACCGCCACCCAGGCGGTCGCTAGCCCATAAGCGGACGGTGTCACTTTCCATCCGCTCTGACTCGACATGAACTTTGTCAATGTCTTATGGGCGATGAACTCCTCGTATCCTAGCTCAGGATTGTCGTGGATCGTCCTGTTCACATCCCAAAGTTTGTCTTCAATGTGGTTGACGAAATCGCTAATCTCATGGAGATGCCCCGCTCCAATAGGTTGGATGTCTATGGCATCTTCATGGTTGATGAAGACAAACCGTTCGTCCGACTCGGCCATATCTCTCGATTGAATGTGAAGGTCGAACGCGAAGGCCTTCGCCGTTAAAGTTAAAGGTAATAAAGGTAATGGAGGATAAAGGCAAAGGGGTTGGTTATATGGTTAATTAGTTATTTTTATAACATAAAGTACCCTTTTGAAAATTCTACCTGTGAAAGCTTGGGGCACTATCAGGCAGACCAGGGGGAGTTACCCTCAGTTTGTCGCATCACTCAGTATTGTTTGGACACTGAAATGAAAGAAAGAAAGAAATACAATCTTGTGAAGTCCCAGCTATATTTGTTAGAGGCGTGAGAACGGATGTCACAGTAATCGACCCCCGCTCAACAACCCAGCAATACCACCTCCAATACCTACCTATTAAGGATATCGGCTATATCTAATATTATAGCCTTTTACAAACATCAAGGCATAAGTTACAGGGCGGGTTTTTCTTTTCTTTTCTGATATACGTAAAGCATTACTATTTCCAAATTGGGACAGCTCATCTAGTTCATCTCAATCACGTTTAGCATTGAATGCCAGTATCTTATTAAGGCGGGTGTACCTATGCATTACTATAGGTATCTTATCTCCAGCCCATCCCCATCCACTCAATCTTTAAACAGGGAAAATCTCCTTAGCATTCTCTTCATGCGATGTCACATCTTTCTCAGGATCGCCGCCAGGCTCGGTATGCCGCGCATTGGAGCCACCGAGCATCTGGCCGCCCTTCTCAACGTGGTTCTGGCCCCCGAAGAGGGCATCCATCTCTTCGAGTGACACCTGCTTAGTCTCGGGGATGAAGAAGAAGACGAAGAGGGCTAGCAGAATGTTGGTGGCGAAGAAGAAAAATAGGCACTTCAGCCCCTCGTTGGCCAGGAAGATGGGGAAGAACTGCTGAAAAATGGTGTTGGCGACGTTCTGCATCTGCGAGCACATGCCCACGGCCTGTGCCCGGACATTCATGCTGAAGATTTCCGAAGTCCACATCCAGACGGTACTGTGAGTTTGTCGTATTAGTCTTTGCGTACGAAACATAAATGAAAGACCGGAAGACGAAATGGGAATAGAAAAGTAGGCAGGGGTGAGTCTGGATTGGAGGGTTTCACTTACGCGCCCCATGATGGCTTGTAGAACAAGATGAATAAGAACAGCAGGAAGACAATAGCTATACCGACGGGCTGCGCCTTGTTCATGGAGCCGTCGGCCGCGATCACGTTGGGCGTCGTCAAGCCCACGATAGGCACGATGAGCATGCACGCCGCCATACCGAGGGCTCCAATGATCAACAACCATCGGCGACCGTATCGGTCGGCCGTCCAGAGTGCATTCAGGGTGAATAATATGCCAAAAGTAGCATTGAGGGCATTGATGAGGTTGATAGTCTCGCTCGAAGTCCAGATTTTCTTGTAAATTGCGCTTGAGTATGAGTTAAGGGTTCCTTGACCGGAAAGCTGCTGTCCCACGTTGATGACGCAGGCAAGACCCAGACGTTTGCGAACCGACGGATCCTTGAATAAGGCCTTGTAGGATCCGCTGATGGCCTCGTTCTCGTATTCAATGGCTTCGCGAATAGATAGGATCTCATCCTCGATGTCTTGCTCCGTCTCTCGAATGCATCGCAACGCCTTCCTCGCCTCTTCAACGTTGTTATGACGCTTGATCCACCATCGTGGCGATTCTGGTTGCCAGGGTAGGAGGATGATGATGATGAGCGGCACGAGGATCTGGAATATGACAACAATGCGCCAGTCCCAGTTGCCTAGCCTCTTCCTATAGATGTTGGATACGTAAGCGATCCAGTAAGCGATGAAGCTGCCTACGCTGTAGAATGTCTGCCAAAATGTCATGACGCGGCCGCGGACCTCGGGCAGTGACACCTCTCCAATGTAAATAGGACCGGCCGCTATGCGATTGTTAGCGGGATCGTAGTCGCCCTGGTGGTCATATATATACTCAATGCTAATCCCTGGCCAAGACCAATTAAGACACGGCCACCAATGAAGGCGCCGATATTATGTCGTGGAGCGAAAGCCTGGATGAATGTTGCAATGATGGTGATGAAGCATCCAAGACCCATTCCCCAGCGTCTTCCAAAGTAATCGGCCTACATCTGGTTAGGTGAAAATAATAGAGTGTTGCAGGAATGACACGTACGACTGGGCCACCAAGGAAGAAGCCGGAGACAATGGCTCCAATTGTATATGCGGTGTTCACGAGGCCGATCAGATATGCGTCGTTTTTCTATCGAAAAGTTAGCCCACGAGCCACTTGAACTAGTGATGATAGGGGACTTACAGAATCGAGATCGAACCATTCTAGCCAGTTCTCAGAGCCCTGGGCGGCGTTGAATACAGAGGCATCGTATCCATATAAAACCATACACATCGCCGCAACTAAGGCGATGTACCTAGGAAGTCGATATCAGTAACGTTTCAAGGTGGCAGGGCCAGAGCCCATAGGGAGAGTTTACCAGTTGTAAATCTCCTTTGAGGTCGGCATCTCGGACGTCGACGAGCAAGACTTCAAGGTGACCCCTAAGAGTCCCTAGGCGAGCTGTCACTCGAGCAACGGGGAAGAAAGGAAGAGAAAATGCTTTCTAGGAAGAGACTGCCTATGAGTAGAAGAACCCTGTTGCCCGGGCCCATCCTCTCGGTATTATCAAGCTGGGGAGGGTCCAGATTATAGACTATCGAATCTGAGCTCGCCTTTAACCACCATGTGCCTCCGTCCATATTCATGGGCGGTGGCGCGTCGCCCACTACCAATTAGCCCTGGTTCGGCTATCATGTACGTCCCTGGGCTAGTTTACCAACAACATGAGTGTAGCATCCCAGTCCGACATACATAAGACGACCCATCACCCATGGTAAGCTGACTTGTTTAAGGTTCCGTGACCCGTCGTACACAATCTCTCTTGATATATTGCTCTTGGCTTATTACATTGACCTTGCAAAAATTTTCTCATGAAACTTCACACCAAGACGGATTCGTTGAATTCTTCCGGTTGAGAATTCTCTACTCCTTCAGACTCCCTCTTCCCCACAGATGTGCAAACTTCTCGAGCGGGGAGAAGGCGGGTAGAGTGTCGATAGCGACTCGAGAAGGCTTGGGAAAGAGGGGAGCGGAGAATATACTGAGCTAGAATCCCACCAATTAGAGTTTTCCAGCACGCTGGTATAATTTATGGTTGAGACAAATACCGAAATATATAAACGCCCGTACTCCTTCTCGAATCAGTCGAACTGGATACTATATTTGAGTCTTCAGTATATGCATGCCGTCGGGGTTAACTATGAATACGCGATGTGATTAGTAGACCGTCTCTACCGTCAGTATATAGATATACACTGTTGAGTTATCGATACTGCACAAATTTCATCACCATTTCTCGACTCTAAAATGCCGAAGAGGATTCATCTACCACTTACTGTCCGTACAGAAACTTATGTGCCCCCTAGCAAGCATTTATCAATAGAGTTTTCTGGTCACCCGAAAAGGCCAACGGCTCATCCTAAGAGCACTCGCGTAAGCGATGTTAGACAGATGAATTATTGCGTGATCAATGAGAAGATTCATAACCCAGTGAAGAAAATAAGATAGAATACAAGTTCGCCGTGACCATCGGATTTGCCATACCAGACACCGCGCTCTAGTCCTTTTCCAACTCCGAATATCCGACCTGAGTCAGTTCCCTAGCCGTGTGTATATATGTCTGCTCCAGCCCGCAAACGTTGTTACGTCCTCGGGCCACTACCAACATTCCCCCTCATCATAGCCTCGACATTCACGTCAACCCATCGCATGTCTCTGCCCATCGGCGGCTGCATATTTCGAGGCGGTGATGGCTGCTGTTTGATTTGCCGTCTCATGCGTAATCGGTCAACAACATCTTGGGATATTATATCGAAAGTTCTCCTTAGCGATACCGAATCATCCCATCGCTCACCGTACTTGGCAAGTGTGCTCGTGGTGCGCTCCAAGCACCCTAAACTCCTCTCGAGGTTGTCGAAGCCTGGGCCCCCCATCCGGCGTGGAAGTGGCGGAGGCATTGTTGTAGAATACGGTGGTGGCTGCGGCATTATGCCGGAGAGGAGTAGCTCCTCTGCGTCGCGTAACACTGCAACGAATTGGCTTGCCATGAAAAAGGCGCGCAACGCATCGTGATATGAGTAGAGACCCATGTTGCGCCCGCTATGTGAGATGTCATAAATGTGGTCCAAGTATGCAATGGCATGCTCGAATATGAACAATCGGGCGTAGTCAGTAAGGGCGGGTAATTTAGCCGATGGTGACATGCAGTAGACAAAGCTGTAGCGCAACTCGAGATCGAAGAGCTCTCTAACGCCTATTGGCAGCGTGTTAGGAAGTCTTTCCGCCCATTCCTGCATCTGACGAACAATCTGCCATATGAAATCTGGGTCAGGTAAAGGAGTTGAGTCGGATTGCGTTAGTAACTGGTACCAGTGCGATTGTGCCCGTCGCAATTGAAATAACAACAACGCCGGTTCGCAGCTAGAGAGGTATTGCCCAGTGATGGAAGCCCTGCGGCTGAATGATAAGGGCCTCGGGAAGCCTACATTCACTGCTGCATCCGTGAAGGAGAATGCGCGGGTGAGGACCATGCTGATTGACCTAGAAATATGTGAGAGCGATCAGATTGCTGTACGTTTTAACTGAAGGGGGGGTATCGTACCGATCCAGCGAATATACGCAATAGAATGTCTTCCTCCGCATGTCGAGCAATGACTTGTCAGACAGCTGCTCCGGTGGAGGGTCTTGGTGGAATCCCAGATCTATGACTGCTCGACAGGTGAACCCGATTAGATGCCAACTGTCAAAGTGAGCTGGGTCTAGTGTTGAGTACTGCGTTAGTAGGATGAGCGATTGTATTTGTGTCGTATAGCCAGGCATGAGAGCCTGATCAGCGTGCCTGAGGGCCCGCGAGGCAAAGTAAACCCCGTCAACGTAATACTGGTCATTCTTGATTTGGCTTTGTGCACCGGAACTGATGGCAAGAACCATATACAGGAGCCAATAGTCACTGTCTTTAATGACGCGGGTTTGAGCTGAATATACCTGTTCCAGAACATCGTAGAGGTTGGTTTCGGGGAATGAAGGGTAAAGACAATATATATTAGTGATATAGTATTGAACCAAAGCAACGGCGGCTTGTTTGGGCGGCAACTGCCAATTGTCGTCTCTAGGGAGCGGATCATTTGTAGCAGCAGCCAGAACGAGTCGAGCAAATGTCATATTGCTGGTCGATGGTTCGAAGTCCCTCGTCGTGGCATTGACAGAGCTTCACGATGATTATTAGCACTTGAATAGATGGGCGCTCTCGAGATGAACGACGCACAGAAAACCGAAATCGGAAATGAGCGAGTTAACATCCGAGTTCTCGCGACTCCTTGCAGCTTTGCGATACATGGCAGCTTGGATATTAGCGAGAGAGTCCTTCCGGTCAGTTGGGGGAATGGGAGGCAGGGACGCATGCTGGGAGAGCGATGCCTTTCTGGATCGCGCAAAAGCCAAGCGCCTTTCCATTTTCTCTATCCGAAGCTCAAGAGCGGCCACATAACTGCCAGATTGTTAGCCTGCATGCGCTTCTATCATTGTTGTCCGGGGTTGGGTTGGTTGCCTTCGTTCCTTGCCCCTGGCAAATTGGTCGTTGGCGGCCGAGCACTCATTCTCACGGCCAGCCTTCTCACAAGCCGTGCATGCCGGTAATTTGCCATCGCACTTCTGATGTCAGGACCAACGCTTCACGAAAGCAGGGCAAATATAACCAACCCTGACTTTGGCAGACCGACCTGTGCAGTTCTCATTAGCCCCTAACTGTCACATTCCGAAGAAGAGCAGATGCTTACACCTGGAACACGCCGACACTGGGCGGGACACCCGCAACAGCGGGTTATCTGAGAAACTGGACCGCGGCATTGCACAGGCGGACAGTAGCGCACCAGGATGTCTAAGATTCACCAAACCTACCTGATAGGCAGTCAAACCCGTACCTTATAATTGTTCCCGGCTATGACAACCTGGGATGGTGAGTTGCTGAAGATCTCATCTGGTGCTAATATAGTGTAAGCGCCGAAGCGCATTCGTCCGTTACGCAACCCTTTGCCCCGCCAGAACGTCGCAGTAGCCTTCCTACGCTTGTAAGCTTGGCGGGCTGATTAGCTTGACGCGGGCCGCGATAGAGGCTCTACCACGTGCTTGGCTATGGTAAATCCGAGCTCTTTCTAAGGGCGCAAGTGGACAAGAGAGGATATATACCCTCTTCAGGAGTAACGACAGGGACGCTTTCGGGTACTGCGATGAGGTTGCCAGCTTCGATGGACAGAACGCCTTTGCTGAATTGCGCGAAACGACAAGCAAGGACTGGATTGCGGGGTCTTGGCCATATACACACGAAGAGAAGATATTCCTGCTGATGCCCCCGGCCCCTTTGCTACCCAGTCAGAAGGCAGCGGAGCCCAGTTAGTACCGATCGACTGTATCACCTAAGACAGCACCAAAGCCACGGCCAGAAGTTAGCAGTGGGGGTTTAAGTGCCTGTCGTGGTGATATGGGTGAAACATGCAACAAGACATTGAAACTAGTGCGAACGGTGATAGCGACATCTATCTACGCTAGGGCGGTGGAGTCCATCCTTTTCATGCAGCAGTGACTTTCAAAATAGAAAAGAGCGAGAAGACCATGTGTTGGACTCTTACTACATAGTAGGTAGGTAGTAGGTATCCACAGAAATGGAGTCACATCTGTTTTCAAAGTCTCCCTCCTCCGCCTCGAGGGGAAACGACTGGCATGTGCTATGTCAAATAAACCCTGAGGCACGCGTCTATCTCCATTCCAACACAAAAGGGGCATACAGGATAGCGTATCCTACGTCTCTTACTGTGATTGTTACCGTAGCTTTTCTGGATGGGTCGTGTGCGCAGTCAACACGCATGACATATGTAGCTTGGTCGAGTACGTGTAGATAGGCATGCAGGCAGCCGTGTCAGCAGTAACAACGACACATCCTCACCCTGAGGGCTGTATAATGATGTTTCATGACATCTACTCGCTCATGCGGTAGGCTACAGCTCCTTCGGAGTTTCCATTATGTCTTTAGTGATATTTTTGGCACTCTGGATAGGGATTCCATGCCTACCAACTCACACGGTAACATCGCAGTCACTCTGATTCTTGTTTGCTTTAGCTGTCTCTGTCCGAAAAAGGGCAGAGATTTCTCCCATGAAATCGACTTACTAGGTCAATACGCATACGCTAGGGCGGCCTGTTGATCGCCGGACACTGCCGGATCTGTAGATTAGATGTACTCCGAGTGAATATTGTTAGTAGTATTGGGATTCCAGAGAGCGCTTGGTGCCAAACTGACTCGCACCGCGGGAAGAACCCATTTAATAAGCGTGGCAAGCCTGTGGATACAGCCAGCACAGCGTTGTCATGCCCTGGTCTCTGCCCTGTATCTGTATTCCCCGCAGCAACGTCCTATTGGCAGTGTCTGTTTCCATCGAGCAACAATCAGCACCGCTTTCCCACTTGTAGCTGTTCGAGAGTCGAGGATTGGGTCTTGGCCACGTGGAAATCAGAAGGGCCGGGTCTGGTCGGGAGAGGCTGAAGACGATGGTCTGGACGGGAGTCTGGACAGATGGGGATATTCGGGGTGCTGTTCAGGGCCTAGAGAGGGCCCCTGAAACCCTGGAACCCCGAAACCCAGCGAGCCTCGTGTCTATCAGTGTTGCTATCAGTCAGTCAGTCAGTCAGTCAGTCAGCATCCCTTTCTCATCCCATCCATACATACTTAGAAAACTGATCCTCTAGGCTTGGCTCTGCAACAACCCAAACCACAGCCCCCAAGTATGCCCAAGTATGGTGAACTGTCAGCCGTACATACAGTACGCATATCCATTTAGAGCGCGCTTGGAATTTGCAGTGACGGGCCAATCGGTGCTTTTGACCATCTACCCAGGTACGGAAATTGCGAGGTGTGGGAGCCGTACCTGCCTCTCTACCTACATACCTATCTCTCTACCTATCTACAAGTACTATGTACTTAAGTAGGTCCCTACCTACTTTAGTCGCTGTTGAGCACCCCTGAAATATACTGAACCTACGGTAACCACAGTATGTGCCAGCATCGTATGGGGCACCTGATTGATATCACAATCCTATTGATGGCAGAGTTGTCTTGTGTTATCCGGCACCAACTATCGGATCACCTGCTCCTGTACTCGGCGTTCTAATAAAACGGGAGATATGACTGTGTAGCGGACTGGTTCGCCGAGCCGACCCCTCTACGTTCGTGCACGGCCACGGTGGTGCAGACCCTCGACGGAGCCCCTCCAGTGACATTGTGCGACCGAGCAGCAACAGTCGCTCCCGCGTGCTTGCGTGCACGCATAAGATCACGAAAGGCTTCCAGCGCCATTCCCAACCGATTCGCCGTGGGGTAGAGAAACATCTCACTTATGGATGCCTCCATCGTCTTTCGCCAGGTCGAAGGGTTCGGCGACCGCGTTCCCAGGTCGCATCATGAATTTTCGCCGCCCAAGACAGCAAACGGCGACGAGCACGGCGAGAATGAAAACCCACATCGCATCGCCCATACATTGACGGCTTGCTGTCGTTGTCGCCAGGTTAGTAAACCGCCTCTCTTGTACATCTTCCTACATATATGGTATGGCTAGTCATCTTGGATTATTTGTCATCGGCTTTGGTATCGTGTCATCAGGCGTTAACTCGGGCTGCCCAGAGAAAAACCCGGTGCGACCCCACGCTACCTAGATGTCTCCCATGCGAACGATCGGGCTCTATATGCGAATACTTCGACACAACGAAGGGTAAAAAGATAAGTCGGTACTACGTCGTCAAGCTCCAAGAGAGAGTACGTGCTCTAGATGCTGAGCTTGCCCAATACATTGATGAAGATGAATCTCCCCATAAAGACCAAGAAGACGTACTTCGCCCCGGCGGTCTAGTAAGACTGAATGAAACTGATGAGACGCCTCGATATTTGGGCCCGTCCAGCGGTATCGCTATGACGCGCATCGTTATGGCAGAGGCAAAGCGGTATACAAATTCAGGCCGGATATCAGAACTGGTACCCAATGTCGAAGGGAGACGAAAGGCTGCGAGCTCTATGAATGCTGCTGCCGGCAATAGATCACAGTCCTTTAGCATGCCAGTGCCAGATCCCCGAAAGAAGAGCTACCCTATGGTTAGTGCGGTACCAGCAGCCGGGCTTCCAAGCAGGGGCATCGCTGATAAACTCATTGAAGTCTTCCATCAGCGAGGTAAGATTGTACCGCAATTTCCGTTCCTAGAATAAAATCTAACTTTAGGTTATTAGCTCAAGTGTTCAACCCGGCGCTTCATGAGAGGGTACTTGCCAATGCCGTCGAGGATGTTTATGCGGGCACTCAGGATCCGTACCAGAACTTTATTGTTCGACTGGTGATGGCAATAAGCATGCAAAAACTTGACTCTAATTATGCTGGGCTTGCTGACAGCTACTACCTCGCAGCAATGCAGTTTTACGAAGCGGTTGTCCGGCCAAAGGATCTCAAGACGCTGCAGTGTCTTGTATTGATAGGCCAATATTCACTCCTCACACCGACGCGAACAGCTGTATATTACGTGGTTGGTCTCGCAACGAGGATCAGTCAGCAGTTGGGTCTTGCCGATGAAAAGACAATTGCTTTAGGCGCTAGTGATCCTTTGTCATTAGATATGCGTCGGCGGCTCAGCTGGATCGTGAGCAACCTAGAACTCGGGCTGTCTCAGTCTATGGGACGACCCAACGGATTTGCCAAGACCGACGATCTTATTGACATCAAGTGGTTTGAGACTGTACCTGATGCCAACATTTCAGAGAATGGAATCACACCTGGTCCGCCAGATGAGAAGAAACTCGTAGCTATTCACTTCTGCAAAATGCGGATGCTACAAGCCGAAATCCGCCGTACATTGTACGAGATTAAGCGTCCAGAACCCCGAAACGCGCATCATCCTTGGTTTGCGTCCATGGAGGCAAAGATGGACCAATGGCTACGGACATCTCCTGAAAAACCTCCGTGGTGCAAGCCATGGTAAGCCCCTCTATCCTCCAGAGCAACACCGTCAAGCTAATCATTGATAGGTTTACCGGAAGATTTCACACTATGGTAGTAACACTCCATCGCCCATCTCCGCAAGTTCCCAAGCCATCTTCAGAGTCTGCCAGCAAGTGCTACGACTCTGCCGCCTTTGTAATAAATATCTCGAGCAAGCAAATGATGTCAGCTGCCGTAGATATAACTTGGGTCTTCCTTCTGACTCTGTATATGTCACTCAATACTTTGCTATGGTGTGTGGCTAGCTATTCAGACATCCGAGCGGCACATTCCCGAGAGGAAGTGCAAGAACTAGTAAATGTTGCGCTAGATATCATCGATCAATGTGTTGAGCGGTGGCCAGGCACTGCATCAGCATCCGAATTATATTCTATCCTTACCAAGGCTTGTCTACAGAGCTATGACTCCAATGATACTCCTCGCCTATCCAGCCCAGGTTCTTTCAACACGCCGCCATCGCAACAGGACACTAGCTCACCCAACTCAATGGATTTATCAGGCGGGATGGCAGCGCCTAAGCCCGGTGCGCCTGCTTTCAACCCACCTCAATTTGGCTATGTTTTCGGCGCGGCGCCCGAATCTCTAGACAATTATAGCTTTGACGCCTCCCTCTCACAACATCCTACATTCCGGTCCAACTCTATCTTCATGAACCCAGCCTCCAACGACCACACTGGCCGTCGCTTCAGTTATTTCCCTCCCGACTTCACCCAGGGGGAAGCTCTACCAAACATCGATCCTAGTCCGCCTCCTTCCGAGTCCACTGCCATATCTCCACCATTTCTTTCACCACCACAGCTTGCCCAAACGCCCCCTGAGAGCATGTCATCCATGCAAGCTGCGACTCCCGTCATGAGCACAATAAATACACCGATGGTATCGACCCCGTTACTTGCAACATCCGTGTCCCAGGGCTCCCCTGAGGTGACGATTGCCAACAGCTTGCCACAAACGCAACCGCGTGCTCCTCCCCCAGCATTCACTATACCCTCTCTTCCGCCAGGCCAACTACCTCACGGGCAACGACCGTTACCACAAGCCACCACAGTGACCGACTGGTTCAATCCCCCGCCACCCTTTATCTCACCTTATTCCTTTGGCAGCATGGGTGCCGGGTACTGGGGCAATTCTTCCGGTATGAATGGATTTGTCGGCACGGAAGGCAATAACTTTGATTCTTCACGTCTACCTCCGGAGAGACAAGGAAGTCTTAGCCATGCACAACAAATCGAGCTAATGGGGGTATTAGAAAACGAGGGGATGGCGGACATAGATAGCTACCTAAACACGACAAATGTAGCGTATGGGAACAACGGTATAGGCAATGCGAACATGGAATTAGGTTGGGCAACGCAATCATGAGCGAGGCGTCATTATGGGTCATTGGCGTCGATTTGGGACACTTGGAGTTCGGTATTGGCTATAAAGAGATAAGACTAGCTTAGGTACTTGACACAGCGGAAGAGGGCCATGATGGAAATGGATGGTTATGACTAGACGCTTTTGTATACCAACGATTTCTCGGTTCCATTCTCTTGTGTGTATATATCTCAAGGTTAGAGACTGCACCTGAGACGTTTGGGATATGCCTACAGACTCTTCTAAGTAGTTGGTGAGGTAAACAGATAACCAAATAGCCTGTCTCCAATCCTGTTAAGCGAAATTGAGTGTTAGAAAGCTCCAATACAGGCCTTTGCTTCCCGCGGACCAAATGTTTCACGCACGACGTAAAGTCTACCTAAAGTACATTCGTAGTCAGATTGGTATTGTCAATCACCCCTTTCTCCTATGTTGTCAACCTTATATCTTAACCTCTTCTGCGTGTCCCATGTGATAACCCGCCACGAATCACAGCCGTATCCTTAGGATTATTCAGGCTCGATTCCATAGCAGTTTCGGGAAAAGACTGCCATTAAAAATTAATCGGAAACAATAGACCGCTTGAACTTGAGTCTTGAAGCGATGCTCGACAGGCTAGGTCTTCTCGGACCATCGAAAAGAGGCTTGGTCCTTGCTCACTGCCTAAACGAACGAGTACTCGGAATGTTTACACAAACCTACCAGTCTCGAGCTAGGCGAGGATCAACCTGTGGGAGAGCTGCTTGTACTAATTAGAGACTTCCTCATGGATATTGTATGACTTGAAGATGTTTGTTGACGTAACAGCGAGGAGTGGGGAGATCTGCAAAGAAATATATCATGCCCGCTGTCGATGAACAAGAATGTTTATATGACAAATAGATCCCTAGTCTATCACATGTCTCTTCCCCCTATCTGTCCACGCAGTGTTGTGCCCGCGCATATGGGCCGTAGGATATTGGATACATAGCCGCAAACTCAAACTCCTGTGGCTTCCATGTTTGCTCAGCAACTAAAACAACATAATTCAAACTGTAGCGAAGTGTCTCGCCCCACCAGGTATATCCTAGAGGATAGGTAAATCTCAGGTTGTATTGCTTCTTACCAAGCAACCCATGTAACTAACCGTTGATCCCGGGGCGGCGAAACCCTCTTCGGCAAGCACATACCCGGTTGAACTCGAGTAAGTAAAGGGAAAGTACGTTGCCCATCAGCCAAGGGTCACATATATCCACGATTCATTGTCGCCGGGGAATATCAGAGGTCCTTGCTCCAAAGAAAAGAACCACACAGGATCTTAGAAACTGTGTTGCACTCGCGTACCTGTACGAGATTATAGTGAATCCAAGTTGTACAACATCTCGGGGAGACCGGCTGTTGTCTCACACATTTCAGTTCAGTTGATACAAAGGTAGGCATTGCGCTCCTCGGCCGCACAACCACCCCGATAAGCGATATAGAGACAGCATTTCTACGGGACAAGTAAATATCGCTCGCCGGCTTCGTCTCTCTCTTCGCTTCACGGCCGATATCGCGAGACAGGGTACAGCAAGTTCGCTACAGTAAGAACTTTGCAACTACGATCTCATTGCGTAATCCTTTCTGTCTTATTACCTTGCCACTTACCTTGTGTCTACGCTTGGTGCAACGCAGTGAATGCCTACCAGTTGCCTGCAAGTCAATCCTTGCTTATAATACACAACCGTGTAGAAACTATTATCGTGCATGCTAGCCCACGGTCTATGCGCAACACATTGTGTACCGTACGTATCCCCTTTTTTTCGAGCCAAGTCGGGCGTTGTGTCGCGATAGGTATCAGAGCCGTGAAAAAAGTATTCAAGAGATCGAGTGCATCATCTTAGCTCCGCTTCGGCTTCGGACGAGGCAAAGCAAGGCAGAGCAAGGCAAAGCCAAGCAGCGCGGAGGAAACGTAACAATTAGTATGGGGAAAGGGGCATCGGAATCGCGATCGCCAATGACTGTGCGCACATACTTACAAGATGCCTAGAGATGAGATGATAAAAAGCTTAGAGTAGATCATTAAGGTACATCGTGTGACGAAGTGTGGTGCAGTGTAGTCATTCAAGTGGAAACCTATAAGGCAACAAGTATTATACCAAGTAGCAAGCATGGTTACCTACCTAGGTATCTATAATCGTGGTATATATACGTGTGAACCGACCACATGACTTGGAGCTTACAAACACACATACCAGGTTGGCGGGACGGGTGCCGGGGGTGTAGAACGTCGCTTTCAATTCGTCCGCCCGCTTTTCCTTCTCTCGCTTCTTTCTTTCGGGCCTTTTTCCCATTTACATACCTACTTATACACTACACTAACAGGCATGTATCCCGCGAACAAGACGCGGCACGTCCCGCGGGGCGCCAGGGGTAATCCAGGTTTGCGGAGTTGGGAGGGGGGGAAACGTACCGTATGTGACTTTAGGATGGAGGCAACGCGGCAATGCGGCCGCAGGGATAGCATACGTAGTCTACGGTGAAGTAAGCTCTCCCTAAGCCAGTAGTCAGGTTTGATACATGATGCCGAGGGAATTCACTGTAACCTGGTATCAGGAGGTTTGTCGGCATCACCAGGGATGCCGTGTGGTTTTGGGGGAGCGTGCCCGGATTAGCGGATGCACAATTCGCGTGTGTTTTGCCCCGCAGGATTTTGGACTGGGTTACGCATCTAGTGGAGAGCATCGTCTATCTCACTTTAATATGTACACCTATCTATCTATCTATCTAGTGTGTCTGCGTATCTATTAAGAAAACGTGGCGAGAAGCAAGGCACAGACATAGCTTCAGGGAATTCCAGAAATAGATAGCGCTACGCGACATGGGATACGGCGTGACGGTGACGGCGACGGTGACGAAGCGATTCGGGTCTGCAATTTAGAGACCGCCATGATACTCCATATCGGTTGGGGCAAATTTGTGGAAACGAGTGTGATAGAGGGATAGAAACCAAGTTCACGAATGTATTATCTACCTTGGACAAATTGTCAGGTGGTTCGATAGGGTTCAGTGTAGTATTGTTGTAGATGGGCTTCTGGGTAGGCAGATCGTTACTAGAAGTGGCAATCATAAGAGATGCGTGGAGTATTAACGTCAGTTCATCGTCACAAGCGAGTGTTGAACTATAGAGATGGGAGTCAGACATCATGAATTAGATGCAATAAGATATGGTATACAATTAGCGACTATGAATAAACCCGCCCGGTCCCTTTTGTTACCACGGGGAACCCATCAGAAACACCAGACCCGAAAAAAACACGAAGAGCCGCCCTCGTACCACCTTTAGCCAAGAAAATGTTTCGACATTAGAAGATAGCCGCCTATTGTCCCCGGACACCCGCCCATAAATTTCTCATCATTCAATCAAATGGTCGCTCGCTCTCGACGCTAGTAGCATACAAAGTCTTCGGGGGTAGGGTATTGTTTTGGATGAGCTCACCCCCTTTTTTTTTCCCTCCTCAACAGTAAAATAAGGGACACAATAGAACCAAGATCTAAAACTCCAACTGACCCCCAATCCACGGAGGTCTCTGCTAATCTCTTCATGGCTTTCCTGTGTTCGCACAACCCTTAAAACCCAGTGGTCATTACATTATAGAAAATGGAGATACAAATGATAAAAAAAGAAGAAAAAGAAAAAATAAAGCACGCAAGAGATTTGTGTAGCTTATTGATGTGACCGAGATTTTGGGTAGTTGTATTCCAATCCAGACCTATTAAGTCTATGCCCAACTCCTGTAGCCTGTTGAAGATGAGGAAAATATATGCCAACTAAGAAACCAAAATGCTTGCGGAAATAGAGACTATTGGTACACGCCGCCTTGAAGAGCTTTGGTAATCCATATATAGAGGTATAGCATATCAGCGAGTGCTGTTCTGCCCCCAAGAGAATGAGCACAGAGGTCTTTTAGTGATTTGAATGTCGTCTAGTGATAGTCTTGAGGGGTCATGTTTGGTGTGAACTGTATCTGCTTCGACCTTGGGTATCCGGGAGAGGACCTTGATGATACCACTGATTCGTTGGCATCCCAGTCGTATTGGGTATTGGCCATTGCATTTCCAGTGAATGGGTGGTGTTCTAGGCCGGAACCCAGCATGTTCGCGTACACAGGCGTGGACGGACTGGCATCGCTTGTCTCCACGTAGCCGGGAACGGTCTGCAAGGAAAGTTCTGGAAATTCCGACTGGAAGTACGGAGTTAATAGCGGCTGATCTGTGGTGATGTTAAATGCGGAACCAAATGTGGCACCCACGAACCCATTTGTGTTGAAGTCGCCCATCATGCCAGGGGTTGTAGGTGGTGTCTTAAGATCGTGTTCCTCTTTGACATCTTGCGCAAAATTAGGGGTAACACCCATGCCGAGCACGAAAGAGCCATCGTCAGATGATGTTGAAATGACAGTGGGTTCTCGGTTGTGGTGTTGGTCAAAGAGGGCTGGCGTCATTGGTGTCGGGGGGGCTGCACCTGGGAAAGTAGGCGTTCCCGAACCGACTGGTGAACGATTGTGATACTGGAGAAGGGCTTCGGCACGTCCAAAGAATGGTGAGCGCGGCCCGGCACTAAACTTCTGGATTCTTCCAGCGCTCATCCCTGTAGCTGAGGAAATCCGACGTATTGATGCAACAGGGCTGGAAATATCCATGCGCTTTGGCCCATCCAATGCCGTCTTTGGGATATTGAAAGAGCGACTCCTTAAAGACGCGGCTTGGAGCGTGGCCGGACGCGGGATGTTTCGTCTAGAGGCAATATTGGCGGGTGGAGGCGGGGACTTGAATGAATCTGTGGGTGTAGGCATGCCCTGGGCAATGACATGAGACGTCTGGTCATTGTGGCATTCGGGAGACGTGGAAGCGTCGAACGGATTCTCAGCCATGTCGCATGAGTCTCCATTCGACACTGGAGAAAAGTACATAGCCCTCGTGGAGGGATCTGAGATGGCCATGGTATGCATGCTAGCATAGTGCTGAGAGCGATGGCCGTCACTACTCATACTTCGCTCTACATGCAGATCGCCAGCAGGGCCATGGCTTAGTGGTGACGTGAACATTCCAAAGTCGCTGCTCAGAGACCTGGCTTGGAGATAACCTTGAGGTTGCGAAAAGCCCGCGGAATCAGACTGTTGGAACTCGACCGAAATAGGCGACTGATAAGTCTCAGGGAAGTCAGCCTGCGTCGTTGAGACGGTAGAATTTATGCAAACAGAATTCGCATCTTTGATTTCCTGGTTAGCGTTTTCGTTCTCTTCATTCTCATTCTCATCATCATCATCTGACTCATCGTTTTCATCCTCATGTGCTGTGTTGGTAATTTGAGAAGGCGAAGAAACGTTGGGGAAAGCAGCCGAAGAAGGTTGTGTACGTTTCTGGGATCCTTCGCTTAGGGTATCAAGGTGACCGGTAGAATCCTCATCCGGGGACGAAGGCTCAGAAGCGGACTTCTCAGCTGCTCTCCGAGCCTCATACTCCTCTTGCTTCCTCTCCTGCTTCGCCTTGGCACGGCGGTTCTGGAACCAGTTCTAACACGTTCTGTTAGCAAATACTCATCGAAACTGGTGAGGGTCTCCTTACGTTGATCCTAGGTCGTTCCAGACCAAGACCATCCGCTAACTGAGCCTTCACTGAGCTTGAGGGTTTGGGGTTTTCCTGGAACACCTTCTCAAGCTTCTCTACTTCTTCCTTTGATAACCGAGGTTTTGATTCCGTCTTGCCATCGCATAAACCTCGATCAGCCATCATCGGTGGCCGGTGTGTTTGATAGCCGTACATATACTGGAGGCCGGAGTAACTGGGATGAAGTTGATATTGTGGGTCCGCGTATGTCACAGTCGGCCCCTGTCCTTGAGGGAAGCCATATGGTGAGCCGAAGCCCGTTGGCGTACAGAATTGCATATTCATAATTGCGTCGAAAAAGTCGCCGAATGCCTTGTTATTACGTATATATGCTATGTGCAAGAGTAGGGAGGCGGCAATTTCTTGGCTGGATCTGCTATATAAAATGTTTGGCGGCACGGGTTTTCGAGGCTGAAGGTTGGTCCAAAAGAGATATTATGAATGGGCGCACTCCCGCTGGTATATACTAGTTGTCCGCAATGGGTTGCCAAAAGTCAATTCCAAGATTTGGAAATAAAGAACGACTTGGGGTCAGAGATCGGTGGACCAGGCTAAAAATTAAGATATCTGGAGAATGAGCGTGGGGAGGACTGGTCCTGGACGGAGAGAAATCCGGCGTCGTGAATACGGGGGGAGACGGCGAGTATAAGAGCAGACGGCAAGATGGAGGGCCAATGGCTACGAGCAGATTCTCGTGAGACAACGCTCACTTAGACTCGTCAAGCTTCTTTTCGGATTCGAGACAAGGAGTCGGGGTGGAACAAGAAACAACACAAGGAGGGCAGGAGATCGGGAAGGGAGGGGGGTGGCGCGTAGAGCAGTACAAGTAGTTCTCCGTCTACTTAGCGGTGGGTCTCCTTTCGAAGGAGCACGACGATGGACGATGGACGATGACCGCCTTGGTGTGGGTGTGAGTTGTGTTTCTTCGGCCAGGACGGCTACGGCTGCAGGTACATCTGTACCTCTGCGGTACGACGAAATTACTCTGCCTCTTTCTCCTCAGCGCCCACTTGGGACGGGAGACATGGGATTGACTGGACCGACGGTTACCACTAACTAACTGGGGGCCGACAAGACCAGGGTCAGGGTGGTGGTGGTGGTGGTGATGATGGTGTAGGGGTGCAGCAGGGGAGTAGGGAGTGTACCTGGCTGAAGTACCCGACCACGCTGGCGTCGCGCTGGCGGTACAAGCTGCGACCTGAACGGGCTCTGACCTCATGGACGGTGCCCATGGTGCTCATGATGCTCCTTTTCCGTTTCTTTTGCAGCGACGACGATGATGACCAGCAGACGCCGCGCGCTGCATTGGGGTCGTGGAAACCGCAGAAATTTGTGGCGGGCCTGGGCGCGCTACCGCATGCTGGGTGAGGATGAGGGTGAGGGTGACAGTGGAGTGGGCTAGAGGTTCCAGCAGTCCAGCGGTCCAGCGGTCCAGCCTGGCCACCAGCGCATCGTATGGCACTGCTGGGCAGCGTCCAGCGCCCATCCACAGCGCCCACCCACAGCACGCATTCACTCTGGCTGGCCCTCCACTGCCTGCTTCCTCCCCCCCCGACAGCTGCAGGCAAAGTCGACGACTACTTAGGTACCGTACCTAACACACTCTCCCTAGTAGTACTTCGTAGGTATGGGGCCAAGAACAGAGCCAAGCGCCCGGTGGGCCGTTCGACCCATGCGCCTCGATGGATCATCAGGTCGCCGCTGGGTGGATATGCACAGGCATGGACGACGAGGGTTGACGAGGGTTGACGAGGATTGGCGAGGGTTCCTGGTTGGCTTGGGCCTCCTTGGTCTGTCCTTGGGTCCCTGCCTGCCTACCTAGGTACCTAGTAGGTTGGCTTTACCTCTTTAGGGCTCCCTGGTCAGTACACACCCAGGTAGTACCTTGGTGCATCCCTGGTGCATCCCTGGCGCCTCGCTGGCGGGCTGCTCCAACTGTGTGTGCTTCCCGCTACAGGACGCTAGAGCTAGGGGAGTCGGGACAAGATCGCATGCTGGTCAGGTACCTACCTACCTCTTCCTGACAGTCTGCCAGACGCTGCTCACTGTGCTACCTACTACCTAGGTACTCTAAGTACCTCATCTACCTACCTAGGTAGGGAGTGTACTAGCGGGCTGGGCTCTGGGGGCAGAGTGGTCCCCTGTCTGTTTCTCCAAAGGTATCCCTGTCTTGGAGCTGGATGAATGCAGAAACACAGTGTTGTTGTGCCCGAACCCCCTCCACATTCGCACAGAGCCCGCAGGTCGGCCGGTCAGAGGACAACGAGGTACGTATTACAGCCTGAGGCACCGGTAATGGAGGTAACATGTCGATATCGTACGCTACCTAGGTGTCTACTGTAATTACTTACATAAACCAGTTCCGTGTAGAGGAGCTACAGCAGTGTTCCCGTGCGACACGATACAAGACGTCACGATATATGGCGAGGGTCGAGAAGGGACAGTGCAAGGCGTTGGAGACGACGACGAGCGCCTGCCCTTACCACACGGGGACACAGAGACTCGCCTCGACATGAAGACGCCGAATCGCCAAGTACTTGCCTCACCACAAGAGACCGGTACATATTGTACACCACCGCACCGAGAGACAGTATCTGCTAAGGATAGCGCGCGGTCGGGGATCAAGTGGAAGAGACAGTGAGGGAGGGACGAGGGAGGCCCAGATTGGTCCCTACAACCACGTACAGTACTTTCTGTTCATCTAAGTACACTCTCGAGACTCTCAAGACATGCCTACTTCGTGCCTCTGCCTACCTACATACATACATAGTAGTAGGTACTCATGGCTCTGCACAGGGCTTTGGATGGGAGAAACGAGAGAGAGACAGACAGACAGACAGACAGTGCAGGGGGGTTACAGCTTCAATCTTCTTCGTCTTCTAACTCGGTATTAGTGTGGCCGTCAACCCTTGCCCACATGTACAAGAAGAGGTAGGCGCACAGTAGGTACAGTGTCAGTATCGTTCCACACTCATCGTCAGGTCAGAGTCAGGTCTACCGTAGGGCATCGGGACTTTAGTGGCTCATCATTCCATCATCATCATCCTCGTACGTGTTAGGGCGAGGTTAGGGCATTACCAGGAGGGGTAGCGATATGTTCAATCATCGAACCGAAGCCGTCCAGTTGCTGTTCACCTATCCCAATGTGTCAAGACTTAGCTCAAGAGTTTACATGTAGATGCATGTACCTTGCTCACTCGGCTCAACCCTGAGTTCAGAGAAGCGCATAGGAAGAAGATCTTATCATAGAGCCTGCCTGTCTACGACATCGATGCCGGTCTCATCCATGCATACAGGCATCTTCGACAGCCTGTACGTAGCCGCTACCTAGTACTCGCTCAAGTCTCGCAACCCATCTTCAATACCTACTCCTTTCGGCGTAATTCATTCGACACAGCATACAGCAATAACCTCTCAGAGACATCGACTCATGCGTCCTGTATCTCCATGTCTGAGATCTCTCGGCTACCAACAGTGGCAATTTCTCCGCATCACCAGCAACAGCACCGGCAGCAAAAACTACACCCTAGCGGTTTCTTAGAATAGCGCGCGTCGATGATGACTGACCATTGTTGTACAAAATGGGGTTCGCATATTGTAGCGATAGGCTGTGCAAATGTGTTTCTAAGGCGGTTATCGCGTCACTGGATAGCGTGAGTAAGGAGGTGTACTTTGTACTATCACTCCATCTACGATGAAAAGACCTGACCTAAGCAAATAATCTGACGATATCGAAATATGAACTCGACCATTGCTGCGGTACCAGCCTTGTCTCTTCCATGATTTAGGCGCAGTGCATGCGTGAACATGATGGTGTGAATGGCACGCCTGTCCCGGTTGAGATGGAGAGGTTCTGATACCTACAACTTTTTCACTTCATCGTCGGGGACCAAGAAAAAGCTCGGGCCTCCTGGTCGGTATAATTCGTCCCGACACCGCTGGTACAGAGTAAGAAAGATATGAGTTGTGCGGGTTGGAAGCCCCAATAGAAGCAGCTAGCTACTCATGATGTCTATTCTATTGCACAGTATTGCAACAACGGGGGCAGCACCCGGCGTCAGACGGCATGCTCAAGTAGTCTGGGCCAGCTATATTCTCTATGCCGTTCTCCAATGTTGATGCGGTTGCTATTTTGGTTTTTTTCTGGTTTTCATCCTCACCATCATCCACCTCAGGATACGGTGCTGACCGGCGTCTGCGTTCAGCAAGAAGCGCATGCACAGCCGCAAGCCGCACCAAAATAGGCACGCACCTCGCTGAAGAAACACCGCTTTGACTCCCTCCCTCTATCTCTCTCACCGGGTTCGTCAATCTCGACGGCCGGCTCGAGTGGAAGGAGATTTCGTCTTTTTTTTCTCCGGCGCAAAGTTACATTGCTTGCGTCCTTGGCATGTCGAGCACATCATGTTCTCCACCGCAGCCAGTGTCAGGAATTACCAGTTTTCCTAGGATGTGCGTATCTCGGCACTGTGGTCCGTTGGGTTTGGAGTACCCAACTCTGCGCATAGGGCCCGACGACAACCGTTCAACGGCAGTTTCACGTAGCACGAATTGTGTTCACCACATCTTCGATACTGAGGATTTCTGCTTAATAACACCCGAAGCACAGAGCCAAAACACCGGAGCTTAGCTCCAGCTTTAGTCACAGACGCCAATGAGACTTGACTTGGCGCTATCTGGACTAGGGCCCGAGAGCTCGGTGCCGAGCGGGAACTGGACGGCGCGTTGCACAGATAACGCGCGAATTAAGCCTCTGCATTTGTTCCAGCATGCTTCTACTTACTTAGACGGCTGTGTTCCCATCGTGATTCGGTTCTACGTGGGGAGATAGAATCCAGTACCGAAAGCACGTCGTCTCTCAATTCCACTGCTACTGCTATTATTATCATCGCGAAATCAATATCGTCGTCAAAATAGTTCAAATATAATCACTGTATTCGAGTTGTATTGGAGCACAGCCATCTTCTGCGGGGGGCATGCAGCTCGTCTCTCGCAAAATGGTCGACCGACCCTCCGTGTCTACATGTAAGTCACATTGGGGGCTTTTCTTTTTCGACAACCCGGGAAAAGCTCGACTCTTGTCATCCGAGACCTTAATGTCCACGTCGGTAACTGCTTGTTGCTCCTCACCGTGTGTACAGTACCTAGTAGTATGCTCGCCTCCGTTAGCTGGGGCCGACGAATGGTGAGAGAGGAATGCTCCTCTAATAGGTCTCTGATGAGATGCGTTAAGAAGATCATTATAGAGGCTAATATACCCGGGGATGTTATTATTAGGGAAGATCTACTTAAGATGTGCGATATAGGTGATAGGCAGGGCCAGGTAATTGGGATTCGCCAGAGACAAGTAATAACAAGGGTGCATTAATCCCCCTTCTCGCTTATCACGTAAAACTCCCTACAGGACAACAGACGAGACAGACAAAAGCGAAGCTAACACGAAGCCTTGGTTATCTATTCGTAGCAGAGCTCAGTCCTCCACCACGGAAGTACCTCACGTTACCCAGTTCTGGAACAAGTACCTGACACAAGTCGAGCCCAGCAGGCTGGAACGCCATCTTTTAAACCAGGGCCACAAATCCACGCTACCCAGTAACGCTTACCTAGTAACATACCAGGTATACCTAGTACATGTACACAGAGCCATACCGTACCTACATACTTAGTAGCGTACGTGAGGGTTTTTGTAGTCGGGCTGGGCGTTGAACAACTCCACTGCATAAGTACTTAAGTAAGTAGTAGGACGGACCCCTTTGCACTAAGACGGCTGGCTAAGATGACTAAGGCGCAGCATGAACCAATGGGTGGATGTTAGACAGCGCAATGCAATCTGTGCGCTGCTGCTGCTGCTGCTAACGCATACGAGAAGCGTTGGTACCATTGCCGATGAGAGGAGAGGTAGGTAGGTAAGTACCTGATGATTTTACCTGCTGTGAGTACTTACTCATAGCGTTCTGTCAACAATTCCTACCTATGTATAGTACGTGTAGGTAGGTGGTTAGGTACGCGAAAGGAAGAGATCGACATTCTCCCCCAGGTCTCCCCAGGCTGTCGGAATCGGATAAATCCTTAGGCTGGTGCCGTGGATTTGGGACCCCTGATTTCTCTGCTCTGATGCTGGGATTATGCCCGGATTACGTATAACCAGCCCAGCCTAGTGTAGACTAAACAGTAGCAGCGTCCCAGCCAAGCGACATACTACTAAGTAAGTACATACAGTAGGTAGGTTAGGTTAGGTAGGTAGGTAGGTTTTGGTTCATTTGCGATGACCGGCGCGCGCTATGACATGACAGCGTCTCCAGATTGTCTAGATAACTGTCGGAACCTTCGATCCTACTGTGTAGATAAACCTGACTCGCATCCCCGGTTCGCGTTACTACTATCAGTACTAACAAGCGAGCATGGCAGGCTTAGTTGGTCGCCGTGATGTATAGTACTCGGTATATTGCAGAGGGTGCTGGGAAGCCAGTCTGCCCGATGTCAGTACATGATATGCAAGTACACAGACGCAAGAGGCGACCGGTACTCATCGAGCTACTCATGACTCGGATCTCGGATCTTATCCAATCAGCTTATTTGCCTCGATCTTCGGAAGATGCTAACCTTGGAGTTGCTTCATGGCCGCCGCTTCCGCTGTTTCGAAAAGCATTGTCGCCGACGTCTAGACTCCTCCCAGACGTGGGTTGCGCAAAGCTTGTACCAGTAGGTATACAGCACAAAAGTCGGCGCCGGCGTGGGGAAGGTAAGGGGTCTTCTCTACGTGTACATATTTTCGTACGTGCATACATATACATAGTACGCAGTATAACAGATATATTAATCAGTTAGTAAGAGGTAGAGGTGAGATGACTGTGCATTTATGGTATGGGGGTTTCGAGAAGGCTAAGATTCTGTTTGTC